ACCCACAGGTATCCAGCATACGCTACCCAAGTTTGGGCCGTTCCATAACGGTGAGTAGAATTTAATGAATCTGTCAAAGCAGCAGAGATGCTGCATCATGGAGAATTGCCTCAGAGAAGTTTCCCGATTACAGCTTCTGCCCAGGATTTCTGTACGTAGATTTATCTGTAGTAACATCTTCATCCAAATCACACATCTGGCTGTGTCACAGACCATGCAGGTATTTCCTCACATTAGGCAAACAATACTTTAAGTTAGGTTCACCTTACACATCACTCTTTAGACAATTAAAACCAGGAATAGCGAATTCTTTTTGGACTATTTATTTTGCCTGACGTGTCATTAATAAAAGTGGCACATTTCAGACTGAGACAAAGGTGAGTGTTAGATCCCTCGCTGGTAGTGAAATAAACAGGAAAAAAAAGTGTTCTCAACAAAAATAATCTTTCAGCTAAGCTATTCAGATTACTGAAAATTATTCTGCAGAGCCCAAGTGCAGACTTTAAATAACCTAATACTATCTCTTCAACATTTTCTAATAAAAAGTTCAATTCTCGCAGGTAAATGGGTGTCCATTTCTGTAAAAGTGTCAGATCTCTCTTTAAAAGCAGTAGGTAATGTCCGCTAATTCACTTGTCAACTTCTGGCCAGTCATTAGAAGGGAAATGAAGAGAAAATTTCCATCCCGTTCTTGTAGCTGCTCCTCCGTAGCGAAGCAGGAAAAGCGTCACACTAAGCTAATAACAGAATCCATTTTTCTCAGCCCAATAAAGTGGTGCAGCTAAATCAAGACTGTAGTGATTCAGAATGAAAAAATAGCAAAAATTAACTCAAAGAGAGCATTACACCTCTAGGAGTCCAGAAAACCACCGTGTCTTGTCTAATGCTTTAGTACATCACAAAACTCCAAAATTTCTGAGACAAACCTTTGGGAAATGAGAATGAGCATCCCCAAAAGTCTCCTTGAGTTCAGCATTGTATGTTTGGAAGCTTCTCAAGAAAGAGTTAGTTACTACAGCTCTCAAAACTTTTCAGAAGTCAAGTAAAAGTTTGTGACACGTGGCATTCACAAACAAACCCCAAAATTCACAGCGTGCTGCCTCACTGTAGCGTGTTTTTCTAGGTCGATCAGCTTGTTAGACAGAACTACCAGACCAGCCATTGTGGCCTAGACCCACCACAGCATTTCAAGTTCACAGGACTTAAGCCTATGCCTTGGTGAACTGGAATCTATCGAGGTAGCTACTGCACCATATGGGTAGGCAAGTCTCACAATATTAGAAGAGAGTATTTCTAAGTCACAAATACTTTGTAATAAAACGCTCCCCTAAAATAAAATAAAGTAAATCTGTAAATTTAAGTATTCTGTTTATCGCATATGAACTCCCCATTCTAAAAATGCATGCATTTTCTGGAATGCTGTAGCCATGTGATGCTAGCTGAAGGACAAAGATGAACTTGTATAGTTGTATTTTGGAATGCTCCAAGCCCAAGGTCTTGAAGGAGATCCTCTCCCTAGAACATAAGGCAAGTTCCTATGGGTTTGTTTTTCGTAAGAACTGAAGCCTCAGCATGGCAGAGCCTCCAGAGATATTCCACATATTGCTCTGTATTGTATTACTACTGTTATACTAGCGGGTGGTATTGTATTACCATCTGCTATAGTGAGAAAACGAACCCATCGACCAGCCAAAGACACTTAAAACAACTACCACCACCCCCTTTGCTCGTGACAGATGAACCCTTCAGTTTATTGCGAAAGCCTTACACCATGGCAAACACCCTGATGGAAGTGAAAAGGCTCTAACTGGTATGGGGCTGGGGGCAAATGATACCCCGATGGCCAATTTGTCTCCAGAGGCTTGCCTTGGAAATAGGTTAGTCCATCAGATAAAACAACTTCTTCTTACACTTTTCCCAATTGAGTTTCTGCCCTCTGAAGTGATTTTCTCCAAGAACTGCTTGAATTCACTGGAACTGCACAAAGCCTTCCAGATTTATGGGGTTTCCCTTCCCTCCCGCCCCCCCGTCTCCTTCCACATGCCATAACCCAAAAATTCCAGAACCCCATAGCTAGTCATAAAAGTAACTACTGCAACAGCCCCTTTCCCAGCTGAAAGCACCTCCTGGATAAAACCATGAGATGTGAACAACTATTTGCAGAACTCACACGCAGAAGTCCCCTCAGAAAATCAGGAAAATTTTCTCACCTAAGCTATTAGCAAAAAGCAGATGTTCCTTTGCGTGGCTCATTTCAGCATCTCTGCCTTTGGAAAATCACTGGCATCAAAACTTCCTTTTTTTTTTGAGAGGAGATGCTTCTGAAGAACGCAAGCCATAAATGTGCTGCTTCAAAATTGTAAAACGTGGCTTTATTCCATCAGAGGTCCAACAACAGCAGTGGTTTTCATGACTTCAGCGCTAACCCTGCTAGGAGAAAGCACTGCTTTAAACAGCAGCAGTGCTAACAGCCACTGCAAGACTAGTGCTACCACAGTGCACTTAGCTAGAAAAGATCCAAATAATCCAAAACCGCAATCCTCCAACATACCGTTCAAATCAACTCTTAAAATCAACCACAAGCTGCACAGTTGAGAGTTACTTCAAGATAAGAGGACTCCTCAACTGAACTATTCAGTTTACTTGCCCACACACTGGAGAGGAGGCTTCGTTTTTTCCTTAGTTTATGCTTTTAGGACACATTCCAGCAGAGAATTGCTGATGCACTCACAGTTAATGCAATTCTGCCGTCTTCAGTGAAGCTGTGTATGTACACTTCATTGGGCAGATCTGGCTGGATGCTGCTGGTGCTGAAGCCAGAGCAATATCTAACTTTCTCATCTGGGTTACCTCTGCAGCAAGGATAGTGATAAGAACGCGCCATCAATTTTACCCAGTTTTAGCATCCAAAAGTGTAAAATTCAGCAGTATTAGGCTTTTTTTTTAACCTGAAACTTGTTTAAGAAACACACCTAGACTATCATACGGAAAACAATTTAATTGTGTGCCCTTTACACACTTTGCAATGTAATTCTGGCGAGGAATTAGAAGACATTGTTGCTTCAAAACATTCAGATATCAAAAAAAGAGCATAATGTGATGTTTATTTGCAGTCTCCATTATCTCCAAACCAACGTTCCCCACTTTTCATACACGAAGTAGCAGAGGTGCTTTCTATACGCACTCTGCCTCAACTGAAAGTATTTACAATTTTATTTATCTAAAGCATTTGATCAACTCTGGCTATCGCTACACAACTATTTACCCAATTCTCTGGCCTCTGTACCAGAAGTGGGAAGAGAAGCACTGAGTGGCCAACTGAAGAGTTATCAAAAACTGCAAGAACCAGAAACTCCTAGGAAACAACCATGGAAAGAGGAGTGTTGGCTGTAAGATCTTTATTTCTTCCATAAAAAAGGAAGGACTACATCATCTAAGCAGAGAGCTTCCGAATTCTATTAAGAAAGATGGCTCAAGCTATATCCATAGTTTTTGGGAGGCAAATAAATAGTCTTGCCCCAAACAGCAACCATAAATACAAGCTCTTGAAAACTGGTCACATTTTCCACTCCTTCAGAAACCAAAAGGAAGGGGGAAAACACAGCAAACCCCCAACTTACTGATGTGCTAGGGCGGAAGTATAAAAATGTCAATTATTTAACCACAGTACTTCTCCAGAGGAACGTGCTCGCAGGAACAAAAGCAATGCCTGTGCAGTAAGTATCTTTTCAATGTCACTTTAAAAGCTATACAATCCTATCTGGATATGCAAAAGCTAATAATGCCAGAGGACAGAGAAAGCAAGTACGCAGCCCACCATTCTGCGGCATTAAAAAGTGATTAAATGAAATTCAGAAACGGCTCAGTGACATTTCTGATAGACTAATCACATAGCAGTGCTCTAAATAAACAGACCCGTTATCAAAATATTCCCTTGAAAATTCCCCTGTATCTCAGCAGGTACTTAATGTATTTATTGTGTGGAGATAATGGCTTCTCACTTCAGATTTAGAAGAACATGGAGGAAAAGAGGGCTTCCCACAGCTGTGTGCACTAGCAAGGACTAGTACAAAACCCATTCTTTAAGTCTCCATGTTTTGGAACAAAGGAAAACCAACTGTTGACCCAGTTTATAAGCTCATCCTAAAATCAGACCGCACTTAAAAAAACCTCTTCTGTTAAATGGCAGAGTATTCACTACAGACATCAACCATTCACTTGAACATTCACTTGAAGCAAAACTTCAATTATTTTCTGACAGGTTGGTTAAAACTGGCCAGGGAAATCAGAGCTGATAGCTCAAATACTCTTCAGAAGCCACATAGAGCAGGATGCATTGCTTCTCACTACTACCCATCCGTTCAGTTCCCTCAGCCTTCAACCTGACCCTGCCAAAATGCGGCTGTTTCTCACCGTGGCTACTGCATTATCAGTACTTTATATAGAAACAATCCAGTGCTAATCAATAGTATTACTTTGCTCATTTTTTAAATTCGGAAAGTTGTCTTCTCCATAGCAGGTGCTCCATTTCAGACAGCCACGCTGATGCAAACAACCCTATATGGCAGATGCCTACAAAATTTTAAAAATTAAAAAAAAAAATAATCAAGCCAACTGGCTCTCAAAACTGCCACAAAACACATTCAGGATATTTCTAGCTAAACACAGTGCATAATTAACAGTCATCTGAGAAAAAGTTAACCTTTATTTGCCCATTTATTTCAGTTCACACTTCCCCCCCCCCCCTTGTCTCAGTATACTACCTGGATCACAAAACAGATTTCTCCATGAACAGTTCAGCCAAGAAGAATCTCTGTGGGCTGGTCATCCACTTTGGAGCTGTATCGTACAACACAGTTGTAAGCAAATTCTAAATTCAAAGCATGGAGTTTTGATATTTGAAAACCACGCTGATACTGTATACAGAAAATGGTGTTCAGCTGTATTGCCTTTTCAAACAGTTTCAACTGCAAACTCATCTATTTTCACAATCAGAACAGTTTTGTCTGAAAAGTTTATTTTAGTTTTCTGAACACTCTAAAGCAACTGTGCTTTTGATGTTACACAAGTGTCCAGATAGGATTAACAAAAATTAAAGTGTTCTAAATTACAAATTTAATTCCTGTAAGAGCTTGAGAAAGGAAACAGAACAGAAAAGCATGACATACACACATTGTGAAGAAACCCCAACTTTTCATGCAATGGCAGGCAAGATGTAAAAAGCCACCCAAATTCACACATTTTTACACCGAATCATCAGAAAAGTACTCTGTAGTAAATCTGTACATCCAAATACATTTGGGATCTACACCTAAGTTACATTATTTAATGTTATATACACTTATTACCCCTTGTATAATGTCTAAAGGAAAATCTTCATTCAAATCCAAACCAAAAAAAAAAGCAAGACTAACTTGGAAAAAAGGAGAATCACTTTAGACATTCAGTTAAAATGTTGGTTTTGTTTTAATCTAGACCTCAAAGTGTTTATTAAAAAACAAACAATCCTCTTCATTTAACATTTTGCTTTCTAACTGTACAGTAAATTGCATTGCAGAGAACACATCCCGTCTTCAGACTGTATTTTCTTTGGATGGATTTAAAATGTAGTTGGATATTACTTTCAAGATAAATAAAGGGAAGTTGGTCCAACTAGAACAATAACTGATATATTACATGCATATGGGTTTTTTATATAGTTTTTAAATTATTTTTTAAACAAATGAGCGTAGGGTATTGTTGGTATCGCAAATAAACCAAAAAGCACCTGGAGTCAAAATACAAAACATACCTCCTATCCTGGCAATGGCAGTAAAAAACAGAAGAGTAATCTTTCTGGAACTGCATTTTTACATAATTTAGAAATGTTAAGTACCAGGAAGACTACTAATCAAGTCGTTTTAGCAGCCAAGTTTCCCTCTTTTTACTGAATGGAACAAATGCTTTAAATAAACCGTTTGTCCTCTTCACTGAAGAGAGCTAGTCTATTCATCTTTAATGAGCTAGGCTTTTTGTTTTTTGTTGGTTTTTTTTTGGGGGGGGGAAGATTAGCCACGTACTGTAGTAATGCCTACTGCATATAATCCAAGCATTTGCTGTGAACAGTTGGAGAAAGCAGTCAGTGAGAACCTAGGATCAATGAAATAGATGTTACTTTAAGCCATCCACAAAATGGAGACCCATATAGTGCCCAGTGTCAAAACCCAAATCTCTTCTCGCGCTTTTGTTGTGCAAGTTCATCCCCACGAAAACAGGAGCTGATCCATAGTTCAATTTTCTTATTTTCTTAGTCAATTTTCACATTAGTGTAGATTTTACGAACAAAGGCACTTGTTCCCATGTAACCAATAGCTCCTGCAAAAGAAACCGAAAACGTCAAACACGTTAGAAAGCTGATCTTCAAAATAAGCCAGCAATATAAAACGCATCAACAGAGAAAGTCACAAAGCATGCACTCCGCACACACAATTATTTACCTGCAATACTTGTTCTCAAGCTCTCATTATCCATGCTCCCAGTGAACGTCTGGCAAGGACTCTCCTAGTCTAGCAATCTAAATCCATTAAGCCATCTTACCAAGAGGCCATGCTCACTTGGCCTTGATAAATATAGCAGGCCCCCTACTGCTGCCAATAACTGGGTCCCTTTTTCTGAACAGAGGGTAAAAACCATACAATCGCCCACTCCGCAGGGAAGGTGGATGGGAGGGCAGGATTTTATTATACATTACATGCCTGCTGGATGAGTGTTTTATTGGCAGATGGCTTTTTCTTTCCCACAAGGCACAAATAATAATAGATCCCCATCTCAGGAGTCTTAAACTCCAAGGAGGTCTGTACAAAGAGATTAAACTAGTAGCAGTGAGTAGTTAAAGGAAATTGCAACCTGTGGTTTTCAAATTCGTAAGAGTCATGAGCAGAGTATGCATTGCCACAGCAGCAATAAGAGATCACTTGGTTTCTGATAAGGGAACAGTTTATGCTAAACCCAAAATACTGCAGGACTAAAACACCTAGAAAAATGAAAGAAATGCACTGGACCGAGACCTCTTCCAAGAAAGAGATTCAGCAACCCACGTGGTCAAACCCAGACACCAGGTTTGCCAGGCTCAGTAAATACTGCTGCCTCAGATATCAGTCAGGAATAGCCCAGTGCTTCTCCTTCACCTCTTCCAAGCAAAATGAGAGTAAATCAGCCCGTGAAAGGCAGCGTGGCTAACTCTCGTGTCAGAAGTGACGTTGAAAAATCAAGTAAGAATTAGAGAACCGCTGGCAGACTGCCAGGATAACACATCATAAAAAATGGGAAGAAAGGGATAGTGAAGTGAGGATCTGTGAGTCAGTACAGAGAAGAGAACCCCTAACATCAAACACTTGGATGCTCAGTAAAGAACGGACTCTAAACAGTTATTTTTGCTTCCCTGAAGCAATGAAACAACATTTTCAGTGATCTGGGATGCACCAGACTTGCGTAAGATGTGTTAAACACAAAAGCCTAACCAACACTAGAAGATTTCTGCCAAAACTTCATTCTTCAATAAAAAGAAAATTGTTTTGCCTTTTGAAATTAAGACCATACAGATCTGCAGCCTGCATTGCTGACCACAGATTTATTAAAAACCTGGAGAGTTCTTTAAAACCTGAGGACTGCTCAAACAATTCGTGAGGGTCAGCCATTAAACTCACACAGAATTTTGGGTTTTAGACCCCTAAAAGCCCAACATTCCTATCTAATCAGGAAATTTGCACAAGGCAAACCTGATGCATCGCTCCAATGTTATCAGAGCAGTAAAGAGCCTGTGGAGTCAGCTTCTGTAGCATTTCAAGCTCTATAAGTATCATGACAACTATTCCACTGGCCAGCAAACAAGGGATTTGTATTACTAACTTGAGCAAAGCAGAGTTTGATTAAAACAAATTACAGCACAGACGAGATCAGGTTGCTGCTTGCAAGAGTTAAGTGTGCTCAGGACATAGCAGGGGCCTCACAGTTCGGGAGAGATCAGTAAAGCATTTGGACAGAGGTTACATGAGCTTGGAGCCACACAGATTCTTCTGTAGCCTGTCAAGAAACCCAACTTCTGTCTTAGACAGCAAATGGACAAACTAATGGCACTGGACTCCTGTTTCAACACTCAGCATGTTTTGCCTGCAAAAGCTGACACTGATCAACAACTGATCCAACATCCGTTTTATTTGCTAAACTCAGATACATCCCAGCACTTGTTCTTTGAGGGTTTCTCTAGCAATGTGATGCCAGACATCACAGAGATTTGGAAGAACAAAGCACTAATTGTGTCTCATTTGGGATCTACAGAATGTGCACATGAGATAGAAGTGAGGGGGAGGAACAGAGAGTAGCAGTCACATGAGACCACAAGCTCTCAAACCCATAAACAAATCATAACCTATTCTGAATCACAGAAGCCTCATCCATGAAGGCCACTAATGGCCAATACCCAAGGCAGGGGTTAAGCCCCAAGGCTACTTCACAGCCACTGAATAAAACATGGAGCGGAGATGGGGAAGCCCTAGACAATGACAACTAAAGAATGTCCTCCTGAAACAAATGCAGGACAGTTGGCTCATTTGAATAAAAAATATCCATAGTAAAGGGCATTATTTTATTTATTTATTATAAATATCATATAAGATGTTTACCTTGATTATGGCCTAGGAGAAATAGATTACAAGCATATTTCAGCAGAACAACAAGCTTTTAAATAAACAGAAAAACCCAAATATTGAGGAAGAACTACTAAAACCAGAAAAAGTTTAATTCCTATCTGTTTCTTTGTAAGCATAGATTTTGTTTCTTTCAGCACCTTCAATCGTATGTACAGTAGACATCTGGATGCTCAAATGTGGTATCGCAAGAGGCCTTTCTATACTATCCAGCTCCTAAGCCATCCACTGAGTTGGGGAATAAGTTTCATTCTTTTCTGTCACTAAGGGGGAAGCATGAGGAGCTCAAAAGGTTTGGAAGTTCTCATGGGTTCCCTATTGTCCAGTCCCAGAACTTAGATACTCCGTAGAGGGCAGACGACTTTGTGGATCAAAGCACCCCACTGCATGTGGGGTTTGAATTCACCAGGCATTGTCAGGGGCACTGAAAACAGAGTCGGATGATAGAAGCCTACAGAGTTGCCCCGTGGCTGCCTTGGACCCTAACTAGTTCATCTCACATGCGACTGTGTGATACTAAACACAGCCATTCGTGTGAGCATCCAAAGTGCAGCTCTACACACTCTTGACAAGAGATGTACAGTCCACAGCACGCACACCGCACCATTCTCTAACACAAATGTCTTTGTTAGACCTCAATGGCAGCAAGTTCCCTCGACAAACGCTTTTTGACAGGGGATCTTTTATCGTCCCTACACATGCTGAAAATGGGAGTTCTCACTAAAAAAGAATCTCACAGCTTCTCTTCTAACACAGCTAAAGACAAAAAGAAATCTCAGTAGAACTGTGGAAAATTTAAGGTGATGAAGTATTTTCTGAGTTTCAATAAATTTGGATTTTACTCTAATATTCCATCAAATAGTATCCTACCAGGGCAAGAAAGCATTTGACAATCTTCTTTTTAATTTAAAAAAACATTTTAATTACAGAAACTGGTGGGCAAGCTTGGCTTCTGCATCATAGATGTTTTAATCAATACCAGCCTGAGCACTTTAAAAAGAAAAGATTAGAGCTGAAAAGTGTAAGCCTATTAAAGAAAAAAAATGGCTTCAAGACTACGAGAACAGCAGGGAAGTCTTGTAATGTGCCAAGAACCTGATGAAGCAAGATGAGATTGCATGAGAGAAAAGAGGAACAGGTACTCAGCAGTTAAGATATTATTTCCCTCTCCTTTTTATAAAGCATTGCAAAATTACCCACCCTCTTGGGATGTCAAGAAATGTATGCTTTACAGAAAGTACATTCCTGTAAGACATCATGTGTCTCAGGTATCTAACTCAAAGAAATCCTAGTCCTAGAAAAAATCCTAGAAAATAGTCCATAGGACTATTCATTCACTAGTAACAAGGAACGTATTAAATAAGGGTAACGCATAAAAAGAAAATAACATCACAGGAAAGGGCAGAAGAACCAAGCACTTTCTGAAAGTCATTTAGCAAAGGATAAAAATAAAAGTAACAGTTGAACGAATATATTTGACTATAAGATGACCCTCATGCCAAGAAACCATGTTTTTCGCTAAACATCTGTCAAAACAGCGTCTTAAAAAGCAATGAAATCCACCTGCACAAAGGAACACTCTGCACTCTCTTCACCTGTGAATCCTCCAATACTTATTTCTCAAATGTTATCCTGAAGTTTCAGTCCTTTCTGTTCTGGTCACTCTCATATATACATGCCATAAGAATACAGATGGTAGTGTCATCAGTATCACGATACCATTGATGCCTCTCAACGGGTGTACCTAGCTCCTTGTCCTGGGGTAACATTAAAAACTCCAGAGCAAAATGCTAGCATAGGCTCAACTCAATCTGGAATTTGTTTTGCAGAATTTCTTGCCCTACAATGAGTCTTTCAAGTTTGCACTGAGGGTGAAATTCTCTGCAATGTACACAAATTATCTTGCTATCAGAAGACACAAGTCACAGAAATGTCCTATGCTGGGTAAGAACCAAGCATAAGCAGGGAACTCTATGATTCTTTTTAAAGACTGTAAGCTTTTTTGAGCATATCTTGCAGGCATACATACTCCACCACCAAAGCCACAGAGCTAAAATCAGAAACATGACAGTCTAAACAATTCTGACAGGAAGCTGTCAATAGATTTGAAACTTACCACACATTATTCCCAAAGCTGTGCTAAATACTGCCATATAACCAAAGTAAAATGATGTTTGAAACAAGCCATACATCCTGAAAAAGAAAGATAGGAATTTATGCTAGGTATTTTCCCCCAGTTTTTCTCAATAAAGTTATTTGGCAATGAAGTAATCTGATATTCAAGCAGGAAAACTGTGACTTACTTTGTCTTGAAAAAGTAGTAGTAAAAGGAGTACATGTAAACATAAATCGCAGTTGATGCCGCAGAAAGAAAGCTTGTCCATTGCCTAAAAGTAAATACACACGTCCATCATTTACCTGTAACCAAGAGGCTTCCCAAGAAGACATACAATGTGCTAAGACTTTACCCTGAAAATGAAGAGTACCGTTTCTAAAGACTTAAACAGAAATCTACACGTTGTCTGCTATGTGACAAAAGCTCCAACCACAACAGCTACCACTGATACCAAGTGATGATCCTTCTTCATATTCCTGTGTGCCTTGACACTTCATCTTTTTTTATACATACACACACAGATGCACATACACACAGAAAGCTCCTGCACAGAAAGTATCCAAGAACTGCCTTTATTCTCTACAACTAAAATCTGGACGTGGGACACTTTGAAGAGACCCATCTGACTGAAGAAACGTTACTATTTTACAAAACTGTCCCGATCTGGTTAACTACGCAAACCATGCAATACTTACCACCTGTAATCCTCTGCGTTTAGCAGGAAATACGTACAAACGATAGTCACACAAACTGTCACAATGCAGAGGATAACCAGAACCAACATCATAAAGCCATAAACATAGTAGATCTTGTAAGCCCAGAATGAAGTAAAAATGAAATACCTGAAGACAGTAAACAAAATATGCAGATGACAGTGTGATTGAACTTAAATTATTACAATTTCTTCATCAAATTGGCAAATAGCTGACATACTCACATTTCAATAAAAATTGATCCAAAAGGGAGGATTCCACCTAGGCAAACAATAACAGCTGGTTCCATGAACCTGAAAGATTAGATTAGATTAAGGTTAGTTTAGGGACAATTTTAGTCTTTCATTTACAAACAGATTAAGACATAACCACGTAATTAATAGAGCACAGAGAATCCTTTAAAAGGCACACTAACAAGAACATTTCTGTGTCATACCAGCGTAATAGAAAGAAGATTCCCCTAAAGATGTCATGTGTATGGACAGAAGGAGGAATTACTCTTGGGGAAAGTTGAAACAAAATGTAAGGCTTATGCCTATCACTTACAGGCATCTAACCAGCCTTAAAGGCAACTGAAAGAATCTCTCTTGCCAAAAAGAGCCTAAGCAACCAAGCCCTGTAACATCCACTACCCTTGAACGAAGGCAGTGAAAATTCAATGCTGTTGATGGCCACAAACACAGCAAAAAAGCACCAAAAAAATTGCAGGGTAATGGTTGTATAATTAAGAATGCTTATTTTTAATGCTATACTGAGTCATGCACATATGGCCAAAAATGAATACTCAGCTACCTGTAGGTGATACTGTCAGTTACTAAAGGTGACCTCTGTGTAGTACTTGCAACAATGTCGTATCTAGCTAGTAACCAGTGATTTAATTTGCAGCTTCTTTCATTATTTATAGGGAGACTTGTCTAAGTTGACAGTGTGCAATTTCATCATCTTCAAGAGAAGTATCTTATTTCTTTTCGTCTGCTGATGCAGAACAAGCCATTAGATTCCCAAGATACAGGTCACAAAATAAATCAAACCCTAGCATCCGAGCTGCACAACCCACCACTAACAAGAGACTAAGGTGCTGCGCTTCCTGGATATCATGGGCATACGCGTTTCCCTGCCCCCTTCACTTTGTCTGTTCCACTCCTCTGAACAGGGAAAGCAAGAAAGATCTATTAGAAAACACTCTGAGGATATTTTCATTTCCATAGCTTGCTGGTTCCATCTCAAAATTAAATTAATAGAAAAAGTGACTGCATTCATAATTTTCCAAAAAAGTTAAGTCTACTTTTTGCGAGTAGGCACGCCCCCTTTACATTCACTTAAAAAATAATAAAGGCTCATTCGCAATTCAAACCATATACCTGAAATATTTTAGGCTCTGTGCCATCACCAAAAGTGCAGAATCTCAGCTTGTACATGGACACTATTAAACAGAACATTCAACCCTCAATTCGTACAAAGCATTAACTAAAGAGGAAGGGTTTCATTTCAAGATACCCATACAAGAACTAGGTTGGGACCATCCCTTTTACAAAACAGACTGAAGAGCACTTCAGACCCAATGTGAATCAGTGGTCCAGGACCATAAAATCTGCTACAACTATTAACCATGGTGTTTTTGTTTAACAGAAAAATCATATTAAGGAAATGCCAGTGGAGGTGTTCACAGAATCGCAGAACGTTAGGGATTGGAAGGGACCTCCAAAGCTCATCCAGTCCAATCCCCCTGCTGGAGCAGGAACACCCAGATGAGGTTACACAGGAAGGCGTCCAGGCGGGTTTTGAATGTCTCCAGAGAAGGAGACTCCACAACCTCTCTGGGCAGCCTGGTCCAGTGCTCTGTCACCCTCACTGAGAAGAAGTTTCTTCTCCAATTTAAGTGGAACCTCCTGTGTTCCAGCTTGTGTCCACTACCCCTTGTCTTATCATTGTTTGTCACCAAAAAGAGCCTGGCTCCATCCTCCTGACGCTCACCCTTTAAATATTTATAAACATTAATGAGGTCTCCCCTCAGTGTCCTCTTCTGCAAACTAAAGAGACCCAGCTCCCTCAGCCTTTCCGCATAAGGGAGATGCTCCACTCCCTTAATCATCTTTGTAGCCCCTTGTTGTTCCTCTAGGCACAACTCCATTTAAATTAAAACAGTTATTCTGGAGAAACTTCTAATGATCACACCTGACAAGTCATTTTAACAATACTGAAACAAATACTTCTAGTTAGCATTCATGCTTGTCTTTACCATTTTTTCTCTGGGATGGGACGAGGCACTGCATTGACACGACATGGAAAATTAGGCTGTCCTGACAGATTGCGGCCAAGAATTGTACCAACGAGATTCAATGGAAGAATGACAAAGAAGCAAATACAGCACACTGCCACCTGTAAGTAGAAAAATAACAATTTACAAAACCAACTATAAGATGATAGAAGAAAACCAATCCATTCTGTATATAACAGTCCTTAGTAGTTACTGCTGTAGAATCATACTCCTAGTTATGAAGCATTAGTCAGCATACATCTATTTTATCAAATGGAAGTATTTATTTACTGACAAACTTCCTAATAATCATTATTAAGTATATTTTCTTGCATCAATTGAGAGAACAGAACCATTACTTGGTTTTTTTTTTTTACTGTTTTCATCTAATCATTATATTCAATGCGTTGGATAGGAAAGAAATGAAAATTTTCATAGCACTTCATCACAGAAAACGTTGTTAGCTTCTCTTAAACTTTTGCAGAGTATGCTATCCCCGGGAGCCAACACCGAGCAGTCAGGCAGTTGCACACAAAACTACAACTGCTGCGTGCAAAATATTTAATCCAATCCAAAAAAGAAACCCAGACAAGAACTGCAAAGTCAAGACAGAACACCACCAGTCAAAATTCTCTGTTCGATTTTCTCCACCGTCCGCCATCCAGGTAATTAAGAGCAAAGACTACTAAAGACAAGTGACCACCGGTATGCACAGGTACGCAATTTAGAAGCACAACGGCCCTACTTACATATAAAGCTTAGGTTTATGCACAGCGCAGCAAAGTCAAGCCAATGTTCCAGTTCCTTCCAACGGCACAGCCTCTCCAAAATTTTACCGTGAATCACCTTTCTTCCCAGTGTAGCTGGGTAGCTCTACTTCTGCTATTCATTGAAGGCAACACAATTTTCTCTTTCAATACAGGAAAATTTAAAGTCTTTAGCAAGACACTCTCATAACTCTTTAGGACCAAATTACTTCGGATTAGACATTTTGTTAACTTTTTGATACTGATAACTGAAGACAGAGCAGTTGCCTGTAATGCAATAACCATAGTTCTGCATAATGGCCCTGTGACCTTCGCTATACAAACATATGAAAAAACTGCCTTTTAAAAGCACTGTTGCCTGAGGCTCTGTGTACACTCTCGTGTCTCCAGAGCAAAGAGGCTATATTCCTCTTTCGCTCCATAAGGACACAAAGTCCATGGCAGAAGATTAATCCAAAACAATGGACAGAGGACCAGGTCTAAGAGCCACACACTGACTTGTTTAAGCAGCAGTTACTCCAGGATAAATAAAGGCTGTCCACATACATTACAGCTACGGAAACCTACTGCAAGCAGCTGAAAAGCAAGAACTGCTAGGCTTCATGAGATGAGCTGCACTACATTAGCTCAATACAAACTTAGCACCGAGTCAACCACACCAGTGTAAGATGACATCTGAAAAAAGTTACAGAGGTTTGACAAAGGTTATCCCCTTTATTATTAACTTGCATATCATTACTAGCCTAGGCCAGATTTGAATGGAAACTGCATGGAGCAAGCCTTTCCGCTTCACAGAAAGGGTACAACAAAAAGGTGGTCAACACACAGAAGCACTGTCCAGACTGCTCTATATCTTTGAGGAGAGACTATTAAAGAATTACACCATGAGCCACTAAAATATGTAGCATCAGTGGTAAATAAAGAAAAATTAAGTAGTATTTATATTTGCCAATAATAAAGCAGATTTTTCACAATTACACAATTTGGTATCCTCCATTTATCTTCTTCCATTAATTGAAAAAACACAGGTAAGCAAGCATAGTGTCTTTGGTAGGACACTGAGGTTGCCTAAGAATAAATCACAAGAGAAGTATACAACTAACTCGCTTAACAGATGGCTCTGCCCTTGAAAACTGCTCAGTCTAAAAGAATGAGCAGATGAGAATTTTAAGAGAACAATGTCCAGGAAGTATCAGAAACATCAAAGGACATAATCTTGAGTGCTAGATTTACTAAAACCCTGACCAAAAAGTCCCAGTTTATTTGAGATGCAGTGGGTCAAAGAGACGTACAAGAATTAAGGCCTGGACAGCATCCAGAGAATTTCTGAGCTGATCATACTGAAACCATTTCCATTTGCAAGAGCTTGCTCTGCTTCCTGCCTGGCAAGGACCTCCGGGTATGTCAGGCATCCCCTGCCCATGGTGCTCTGCAGCGCTCTGGCAGGTTGGCTTCACACCTGGCTGAGGCAGAACGCTCAGACCAAGGCAGCAAGAAAAGGCATCTGTACTGCTCATCCAGTCACAGCTGTCTTACAGTGCAGTTATCAGGATATCTGCAACTCCACTTCTTGATCTCAGAAATTACCCCTGCCTGGGGATGGTGGCAGAAAGTGAATCCACTGCTTTACTGCAGAAAAAAAAAGAAGAGCCTTGGATTCCAAGCTCACCTGTAACAAAACTTGGTGGCTTGTAATTGGTTATCTTGCAGAACACATCCACCATAGGGAATCCACATGGAAAGACTACATAACCTTGGAAAAGGAACCAAGCAAGGAACATCCAGGACTAATTACTGATTAATTGGCAAACTCCTAGATGAAAAAAGGCTGTCAGTCGCATCTTATTCTAGTGACACCAACTGCAGAGCTGAATGGCTTCAGGTGGGCAACGAGAAGGCCCAACTTGTTCCAGTAGGGCTTGGCTGTTGTCTGGGAGACAGACTCGGGCAGCAGCTTTGAAATCTAAAATGTTTATCTGCATAAGATAAGCTGAAATAGATCAAGGTTCTTTGAATAATAGCTTCACCAAGTACTACCAACCTGTCCCCAGTACATTTAGCTTTTCTGAAAGATGCCAATTACAAGTGCTTGTTGTTTCACTATCAGATCAGTCAAACCGTGACTGATAATGTTGTAACACCTTCCATTCTATTAACCATTTGGCTAAAAAATTAAATTATTTCGGACAGAACAGCTAGCATCTTCAGTGAAATCTAGTAAGCAGCATGATGCAAAGTCAACGTTTCGTTAAACAATGAACTGCCTGTCTTACTGCTATGCTATGTTCTGAGGACAGCTGGAAATGAAGCACAATTTTTCCTGGAGCCATTCAGGAGTCTAAAAATTATCTGATACGATTTTGCAGTGCAAAGGAAGCCCAACTAAGCAAGCAAGGATGGACCATAGTACAGGCTCAGGAACGCCTTCCACATCTACCTGTCTCTGATAAGCTGTCCAAGCTGACAATGACGTGAATGTTTTGTCTCCTGAGATAACCCCACCCTGGTGACAGCAACCTGCTGGTCTTAGTAGGTTGACCAACACAACTAGTACTGGTTAGAATCAGCACACACTGTGCTGACCTCAGTAGCATCTTCTTTCTTGCTTTCAACTCACTGTCTGACTCCAAGGTAGTCTGCCTGCCCAGACTGATGCTTGCTGAAAATGAAGTTTTACTCTTGGTAGTAGTAGTCTTCTCTGGATGCAAGAGATGACTGGAGATAGCTGGCTCTTCTAGCTTTTGCCTTTTCAGGCATGTTCCTCTTAATTTCAGATCTCAAGTGAAGACACTGTCTCCCTCCAAAACTGAACAGGTAGTGCCAGTTGCCACAGATGGAAAGGGCAGTGATGATGCACACTTGGTGATGTCTAAACCTAGAGTTTAAATCCAAACTGAAGCAAACACAGGGCACTGGGACACACAAGTGTCTCAACTGAAAGAGAGATGAAGTTACATTATTTCTGCTTTATAGGTTTCAGAGAATGAGATTACGATGGCGAACGCAGCTCAGGCACTTCCTGGCCTCCATGACACCATCACAAATGGTAAGAGGAAAGGAAGGCAGGATCAACACACATACGATCTCTGCCCTCCTACAGAAGCATCTCCCTACAGAGGTAACATACTACAAAAAAACCCAGCCCCACTAATAGCTTCTGCATGACAGGCAGAGATAAGAAAGTTAGGTCTCTGTGAGCTTTTCAAGAGAAGTATTACTGTAACACCAGCCAAGAGAAATTGAGAGAACAGTTTTAACTACCACTTTGGAAAACACAAGTTGCGCAAATGGACAAATCCACGAGCTCTACAAACCCAGTTTTCCATCCGGAAAACGAGCACACGTTCTCCAGAACTCATATAACTCAAGACAAATTATGTGAGTTTTTCTACCAAGCCAATACACTAAAACATACCCATTTCATTTTGACTACTGCATTTTTGTCGTACAAAATCTCGTATTTACACACAAGCATCTGATTTAGTTTGCAGGTTTTGGTTGACACAGAAGAGGCTGTCAGCCTCACCATGCCTGCGTTCTTTCTGTGCACATTTATTTTGTTTTGATGGGGAAAGAATATTCTACTGCCTTTGACTGAACATGCAGAATTACGTTTCCCCTATTTGAAAGGAAACACTGTCAAGACTGATATAACTCATGTTCTAGTGCCGTGTGTTTCATATTTTCTGACAACTGTAGATTAAACTTCATTCAAAGGTGATAATTAAAATTTTTATGAGCATATCTAATATTAAACAGCTACTGGCAGGCTATGGTGCCTTGACTGCTTTAATGCACAAGGGAGCAAAGCAATAAAAATTAACTGTCAAAGCAGCAGCTTGATCTTTCCTGTCAGCTACCAAAACTGCACTCTTGGTCATGACTCTCCCCCCATACAGAGATTACTGAATCCGTACAGTGAAACAATTTTCTGCCCATCATCTGCCGAAGCAGTATACAGAACAAGAAAAGGACAGAAGGCTTCAAAATCAAGTGTTACTAATTTTATTACAACCAAGTGTTAATCCAGGGTGCTGCTTTGGGTTGAACCATTGACAATTTAGGCAGAAGCATTATGCTGTGGGGTTTTTTTTCAGCAAAGATTAGTTTTTTGACCAAGAGTTCCACTTTCAAGCAATCTGAGCAAGCACCCTGCTGAATGTATATAACTAGATTTTTTTCTATTCTTTTAGCCAGGTGTCTTGCCTTATCTGGCTCAAGACATGAAAATCTTTGGTGCTACCAGGTCCTCCTTTTCAGTGGCAGCCGATACTCGTATCGACTTAAAGCTGTCAGAGATGGCTGCAGCCTGGATTAAGCTGTTAGAGGAAACACTTTTTTCTAGTTTAAACAAGGTATAGAAGATGCAAACACCGGGGTCTCGATTCCAAGAGAAATTCAGTGTGCGTAACCTTATTTAATTAAACCATTAAAAATGCATACTGGAAACGTAAGTCACACAGGAACCTACTGCTCAAACAACACACAACCAGCACATCTTAAACAGTTTAATAGGGGCTGCATGGATTCTGCAGTAAGAATATTACATTTGTCATCGTAGACTTAATGGCAATCTTTAAATTATGTATCACACTCAGAACATAAGCAGTCACGACTTACAAAATGCCAGAATTAAGACGGTCCCTTTAAATTTAATCATGCTGCACTCCATAGAAACTCTGCATTACTCAGTATTTCTGCACAGAACCACCAACACTCTCCTCAAACACATACGGAGACGTCACTTCATTTACCATTATTTAATATTAAACTTTTAATTGTTCCATGCTCCATTCTTTGCGTGTAATTAAAGCATAACAAATTAGAAAGACACTTGATAAACACTCTGAAAAGACTGACAAACATCAGCATAACGTAAGTCAAGGTGCATAACGCCTTCAGAACTCCTCTGTTTTCACCAGGAACAGGATATAGTAAGCAAAATATCCCAAAAATCAAATTTGGGCTCCAAAAGAACAAAGAATTGAACAGTACCCACTGCAATTCTACCAAGATGAAAAGATGAGATGAAAAAACCCTACTTTTGTATCTCCTTCATATGCTTAGGAAGTTAAAAGTGTTAAACCATTAAGTTTTAAAAAGCTCTCACATCTGAATAAAATCTGTCACGTTCTTTATTGCATTTTTGAAGGGAAGTTGAAAGATATCCCAGGGAAGAGATTCTTTGTTCCGGCTGATGGTGTATTTCACTACAGAAGGTTTGTCACAGTACAGGTAAGATGCCTTGCATGTATATCTAAAAAGTCTAAAGGCAGAGTCCCAAGACTTAAGAATTTCTTCAGAAACAAGTTCTGGATCTTCCCAGGCCCTGCCACACCTCTGAGGAGGTCCCAGGCATCAAGAATGAGTTATACAAGGTGAAGAAAGCTTTGAAGTTCAAAACAAACCGCAATGACAGCGAGGTGTATGAAGGTCCTGAAGAGCCAAATCAATTGGAGCATTTCAAGACAAAGTGTAGAAGCGCAGACAGATACCAGGGAGATCAAAGATGCAGCAACTGTGCATTAGCTGGGATGTCTTGGGTTTGACACGACCAGCTGCCCCAGGCTGCATTCCATAAAAAAATAAAATAAAAGTATCTGTCTGCAGGGAGGAATTAAGTCACAGGAAGAGAATACCTAGCAGTTCACTGGGAAGCCGCAATGTGAAACAGGCAAAGCACAGGATGCCATATTTAAGCACAGTCTCTTAGCAACCTTCTAGCTCAGAGACATTTTTCAGCAATTCGGTTTCTGCTTTTTCGAGATTTACAGTAGTCAAGAAGAGGTGGTAATTCTTGCCAGCAATTTCAATGAAGGAGAGTGGTTTCAAGACATGCCAGGATAAAGGAAGTAATTTCTGTGTTCTAGGACATTTAGATGGCAGAGGTTTTATTTCCCCAAGAAAGCAGCAGCAGCAGCAACTTTACAATAGAGAATTCTGGAAGCTTCTCTACATTGAAAACAAAGGTGGAAAGACACAAAGGTATCTTATCCATAAAGCCAGAAGGCTTTCCAGGGACTGCAACCTGAAGCATAACACAGTAATTTCAAGCAATTTTCATTTCCTTCTACAAACTTCATTAGTTGATTTGAAGTCACTAGAGCGTTGCATATTCTGATGAAGTTTCCAATTCATAACCTGCTCCTACTGAAGTCTGCTAACTCCACTGAAGTTTTATTGCCACAGTCATAATGATTCAAACACGTTCATAAAACCTTGAGATCATTAAAATCACTGCGTAAAAAGGGTCCTAACATCCTGATTAAGCGACCCCTGAAGATTTATATTCCCATTTGTTTTAGCATGTACACGTTTCCATGATCTTAAAATACAAATCAGTTGAACAGATTTACAAAACAAACTTCAGCACAGGTGGAATTCCCTTCCCTCAGCATTCCTGACCTCCAAATGGGAATACAAGTGAGAAATGTGATAGCATAACTGCTTGTTCAGCAGTAAAACAGAGCCTCTTTGCACATATCAAAGTTCAACGTTGTAAACTTTTGTGACAGTATTGTATATGGCTACTAGATTAGAAAGGAAAGCTAATACACTACTCCTCTGGGGCACTGACCAACTAATACAAACATCCCCAAAGACAGAACTTGTGAAACTAAGCTTCATTTTGTGGTAAACGAAGAAGAAATCCAAGGCTCCTTAAACACCTCTGAATAGACTGAACAATTTAATGTATCACAAAAACCGATATGCCAAGAAGGGAGCTGTAAACACATGTTAAGTCCCAAGATTTGCTACAGATACTGAAAACATGCCTTGCTGTACTAAGATATTTTTTAGGTTACCAGTGCTACTGCATAAAAGTAGAAGTAGTAATTTTATTATGCATGTTTCAAACAATTCTGCTCTCAAATAATACCCCTTGCGAGCTCAAACAGAGGTTCTGCCAAAGTGCCAAGTTATTGTATTTTCTACATTGTATTCACGGGGTTATTTGAGGTTACTTGAAAGGGCCATGACAACAAACAAAATCCTGGCAAAAGCCACAAGAAACAAGAAAAGCTGTCATGATTAAATGAGAAAGTAATCCAACCAGCATTGTTTTTCAAGTGACATGGTTAATACACAGACAACAAGACCATAACTGGGTACTAAATACCACTTCACAAAGTGAAAACAGTGATTCATTTTTGTAAAGCCAGATCTCCTCAGGACTTTTGATCTCATCTTGTTGGCTGATCTTTTATTTTTATTTTTTTTCTGCTTGACTGCAATGATTTGGAAGTAGCTTTCACCTGGAATCCTTTTGTATTGCATTTTAGCTTATAACCAGTTTTAAATGGCCATCCAGAAGAAAAATGAGGTTGCTAACTTCCCACGTTGTTATAACACTAAGCTTGAATACAAAGCAGAAGTGCCATGTTAAGCAGAAAGTAGACCATTGTTGGCATCCAGCAGCTGTTGCTACTGTGATTAAAACGAATTATACTTGAAGCACCTTAAAAACCTCCCAGAATAAATTTCTAACTAGGAAGCTAAAGCTATGATTCATAATTCTATTTAGACTAAAAGGCAGTTTTCCTGTGTCTACACTGGTGTTTAAATTCCCCAGTAAAATGACTCACCATGGTTCCAAAGGGTATAGCTCTTGAAGCATGGTAATAGATGGCAATGAAGTTAATGAAGAAGGCAGTTCCGCACACCATTGCTGGAATAAGGAAGGCTCCGATGAACATCTGCTTAATCCATCGCCTTCCTGTAAGAAAAGGTATTCCAATGGGACCGGTGAGATAACTTTTTAAACAAAATACAGTGGATCAGCAAGCTCTCCAGAATTTAGGTGCTTGAATTCTCCCCCAAAAAAAGGTAAAAGAAAGAAGTAACAACATACTACATCGATACAAGAGCCAAGAGTCAACTAGCAGTTTCATTTGACTCCTGGCAACTCACAAGATGGAACACATTAATCAATTTATTAGGCCAGGTGAAAAGACAGGAAAAGGGACCCAGCGTGAGAACATTCTGGCTGAAGAACAGCATATGCTGACTAAGCTGGCCAAAGAAACCAGGGTATGAACCGTAAGTGTGTATGTAAGCTGTAGATCAGTAGAGACAGGGAGAGCAGTGCTGGCCCTCTGTGGAGCCTGCTCACAGCCTGAGTGCACGTGAGAGCTCAGCACTGCTCCTGGGACAACTCTGCACTACAGCTGCTTGCAGGCAGCACCTGCTCCGGGTTGTCTTGACCCAGCTAAGCTGACTCCAGACATTCAGGATGCATTACGGAACTGGCTATCCCTGGTATAAAGCAAAATGTCACAACAGTAAATATACAGCAAACTGAACTCAGACATCTTCAACAGCAGCAAAGGTAGAAGGAAATCCATTTCTAAACCCCAGGCATAACGGGGGAACAGCAACACTTGTTAGCAGTTATTACCAAGTTTAGAGCTCCTTGGGGAGCACAAAAAAACCCCTCCTGGGCAATAATGTACTGTCTATATTTAAATTTAATATGCCACAGATGCATCTGTAACATGCACTAAAAAAAACAGTCAGGAAACTAGCAGATGCTTTTCAAGACCATCATGAACAAACACAAGTCAGGGGTTGATACATGTTTGACATGTAGGAAAAAAAAATTAAATCTGGCTCAACTCTACAGAATGGTACTTTACAGAATAGCAACCCTCATTTACCTTGATCTGTTTTTCTAAAAGATACATGAAAAGAAACATCTGACCTCCAAACTCAGAGTAGATCAGAGTGCAGTTGAGACTGACTACTACCAAGTATGCCATGCTAAAAAGATACAAATTTTCTTTTGCATACTTAACAGAATTATTTTCTCCTAAAGCACTGTAGAAGATAACAGATATTGATAACTTTTTTATTGCAGCATAGGGAATGGATGAAGCTAGTGGGCTGCAAGGATGTACTCTGTCACAACTCAGAGGCATAGTGGGCAGCACTTGAATGCAGCGTGTCCAAATCTGTTATGCCAATTTTTTTCGGGCTTCTGCTCTCTACTGATACTACTTTTGAATTTGCTAGGTATAAAGCAGAGCACACACTGAAAAGTAGAATAACCTTCTTTAAAAGATACTATAAACAGTTTTCCCCATGTACAATTAACGGTCTAATAAGCAGCATTAGTAAACATAACCCCCAGTGCCTATAGAGGAGAATTACGTAGGAGTCACCTGGAGAGGATGACACGAGCTGTTTAACAGCGTGTTACAGAAGAGGGAGAGACTATTATACTCTCTGGATGTCATGAGCCAAACAATTATATATGAGTGTGTAACAAGCAATTCGTAAGACACAACTGTTAACAGTTCTTTAGCTCGTATTACTTTCAAATTAACCGAGGACTTCAGCTATCTTTAGCTAGAATATGCAGCCAACACCAAATAGGAAATAATATGAATGTTAAACATACTAAAAGTATTTTCCAATAATTTAATGGATTCCATCTGAAGGACCTGACTTCGTAAGGACACTTCTATATTGGTGAAAATCAGAAGATAATAATATCTCCATTTAGTAATGTAATGAAAATACTGAAAAATGAAAACAATTTACCTCCTTGTCTAGCATAAAGGCTTCCTCCAAAATATCCATTCACTGGTGATGTTGCAGCATAAACAAATATAGCTGTACTAAGCATTGATCCTCTCCTACAAGAAATTATTTTTTTATAAATGAAACAGAAAACCAAACAGTATTACAGGAAAAGTTCACTGTGAATATGTACACTTAGCAGAAGTAATTATTTAATATTTTTAGATAATGTAGACATTTTGAAGTGCTTAAATTGTAAAATCTGCTTACGAGTGAGAACTGTTTGTACCCAAAGCTTTTGGCCACGTCTACTTTAATCAAGGAAAAAGAGCTCCGACATACTACGTTCTTTTCTGACACGCATTGATTTTCACCGGAGTACAAAAATCTCCCCTCTGATCAAAATACTCTGACATCTGCATATCTGTACCTTGTACATAAAGAACTAAACTACTTACATGACATGCATTAAGTGTAAGGTTTAACTATTGCCGATAAAAGCTACTCTTTGCTTAATATAAAGGCAATTATTAACAAAAATATATTAAGGTTGTGAATTATGTTTCTGCCATCTCAGAAATTAACTTTTAAGATCAAAAGTGTTCATCTTACAGAAAATGAGAAAACCTGATTTAGAAACTATAATGAAGCCACAAATCAGCATGGAGTAGTCCAACCAGAAGAGTTTAGCAATTTTAAAATTATGACCTCATTAAACATTGGAGTACTCATTTTGGCATAATTTTTCTGAAATTTTACAGGCAAAGCTAATAATTTTAAATCACAAAAGCCATACATTTTTAAAAATCACATCTAAGAATAGCAAGGTATAAACGTGATCCATAAATATAGCTGCTTCCCCATGTCTCTGCTACTCTTCGATAGCAAAAAGCAGCAGGAGGTTTTCAGCCAGTTTGCTGTACTACCTTCAACTCAGCTGTTCTGAAAGAGCCCAGACTTTTCGTGTTGAGGCTTTTGATGAAGCTCTATTGGATGCCTGCCTACTCAAAGAAGTAATCTGTGGTAAAATTGGCTCCCACGACTGGATGGACTGAACTAAGCAAATACACCTGCTGGTCACACACACTAGAAGAACATTATGCTAACATTTGCTTCTTAATTTAAAACAAAACAGAACAAGAACCTCACAAACCCCAAGCAACAGTTCCATTTTAGAAAGGTACTTGTTAGACAGAATCAATTTGAACAGTTGCCCTAACTTAAGCCAATTTGGAAACACATGCAACACCCTAGAAAACCACACACAACCTGAAGTGACCCATGTAAATCCAGGCTGCCTGTGAAGTGACCGGCAAATGTTCATCTAAAATTATCTCAAAATTTCTTATTCTTGAACTTACTCACCTATGCTTCAAATATTCTGACGGAAAAGCTTCTCAAAAAACAAACCAGCATTAATCAATTAATAGCTGACATGACCAAATTTCACTGAGAAATTTTCAGTTGGCATCAGCTACATGAACCCCAAGAGTTTTAAGAGACCTGAAGATCACTGACAGGAAATCATTCTTACAATGCTGGTTTACAGCATTTTTCACTCACATCACTTTTTTCCTAAAACACAGATTTTTCTGCACCACATTTGGTCAACTGTTCTGTTACACCTCGAAAATGACATAAAAGCCCATTGCAATAAGAAGCTAAGTGCACATGTATCTTTTAAAACTACTGTTCTGACACAGTTTACAATTGCTTTTACTTACAGCCTCCCTACAGTGCACAAACATTCTGAAATGGTTTCATTCCTTCCCTTAAAGGGCTGACCATACTATACAATTAAAAATGTGTACGTAAGTCTGCCCAGAAATTTAACCATAGGGCATAATGAGGAAATAACACCATATGAAAAATGAAAACATGCCAAGATACTGGTGCTACAGAGGGGCTTTTTAAACACACCATTTAAAGGCAGCTAAATTAAAAACCAAGAGTTCTCTCTAGTGGCACATTAGAAGTACTACAACTTGTTAAAAATCAAGGGATTTTTAATAGCATTTAATAATATGCAAGGGAAAATAGAGCAGGGATTTGAAATTTTAATCATTGCTTAAAACAATGGACTTGTGGGGAAAAAGACATTCCACCAGTACAGTATCCAAAATGCAGTCACTACAGAAACAGATGAAGCCCATCCAGGCCATCAAAAACCTCAAACAGATCAAAGGTAAGGAAAAGAACTACATAAACCACAAGCGGGGTGTTAAATTTAAACTCAAGCACTATTTGTTATAAATTAATTCTCTCCAGTCAAGTCCGCAGCCCACCCATCCCTGGAGGTTTTACATCCAATGCCTGCTAAGCAGTATCTGTGTAAAAGAACTTGAAAAATTAAATCTCCAGTCCTGAGAAGACTTGTGAATACGATTGGCTTAATGCACTGCCAGCAGTAAACAGGACTGTTCACAATACAGTGCACTCCTAGTTCAGTCTTTATAAGGGGAGGAAAAAAGGGAAGAAATTCAGTAAAGCCTTGTCACTCCAGATGAAACCAGGAGTGAAGTTTCTACCTTTTAACTGGGGAAAAAGGAAACTCTATAAAGATTTGTAACACCACAATTAACTAGTTAATGAAGTAATAGTAAATTTGCTTCTTCTGTAACTTTTATTTCTGAGAATTAAAGTGCATGGATATTAAGTAGGGCCTTGTTTCATGGCAGTTAGATTTCATAGTGCATGAGAAACCATTCTGTCTTTAATTTAAACTTTCATGGTGTCTAACTTTTCACTTGAGCCTGCTTAGAATCAGTGCTCTTTTTCAACAGTGAAGTTAAAGAAGACCAACTCACATGCTAGAAGTAGGACAAAGTTTCATTACAACTTAAAAGAATTCCTCTGAATATTACATCTGATCATTTCCTAAAGACTCTCACACACTTCTTTTCAGGCCAGTTAGAACATTCATTTTGGTCATTATTTTGATCATTTAAGCATTTATACATGGGATGCATGGCACAAATACACTTACTCTGTGTATAAATCTTCTATCATTGCAACAACAATGACTATAAGAGACACAGCAAAAATCTGACAACCAGAACCAATAAGCGATGAAAATATTAAAGGATGACTGGATGGTCTAAAAACATCTCCATGGACCTGCTTCCATCCGTACTCATCACCCAGATCTCTGTCCTAGGAACAACAACAAAAAAATTTAAGCCTAGTCACAACAACTAATGACAAACACACAACCAAGGCATAAGTTAAAGGTTTTCTTTATTAAAGCAGCTTCAAGCGCAAGTGTGTCTTCTCTCCTGAATGAATCAAATCTAGGAGAAAAGTTTACTTTTCAGATGTTTATGAAGACAAAAATTACTACCTCAGTGCATGATGCAGTAAAACGTAGCAGATTCCTCCCCATTCCTAAAATCCTCTGAAGTGCTTAGGAGTACACGAAGGCTTCTATCACACACCTAGAGTGGACCCCATTTAACCAAAGTGTGGATGTGAACATCAACACTAGAGACAATTCTCGGTTGCAACCCAGGTGCATGTTATAAAGAACAACAGTTACACTTTCAAGACACACATAGCGCAGTTTTCTGTCCAACTGAAGAAAGCCATCCAGAGCTGCTAACACAATGAACAGAGAAAGAAAAACAAGAAGCCTTAAAAAAGAGATTTAAAAAAAGCAGAAATGCAGATCTTACCATATCATCCATTTCTTCCTCCTTGCTATATCTCGCATAATCTTTTCGCAAAGTTCTCATTAATATCATAGACACTAGGCCAACCAGAAAGATCACCATCATAAAAGAATTGAAAATTGAAAACCAGTGAATCTACAAAAAGAAAACACATTCCTAAGGTTTAGAACTGTAAATGTGTTTCAAATTGTTCCAATAACAATAAACCGTTGCCTACCAGAACAGCACGTCAGCACCAGCTACGTAACAAGGGATGCATATTGTAAGTAACACAACATTTGTAGAAAGTCCCACTAAAACGGGCCTATGAAAGACCATACATAAAGCTTTTCAACAGCCAAGCTTGCTCACAACGAAGTTATCACAGCTTAGTTAATCATCAGCAAAATTCAAACTGGCCGTGTGTGCTCCCTTGGTAACGGCAAGGCAACACGAGGTACTGCTGCCTTCCTAAAGGAGAGTAAGTAGTAAGATGCTCACAGTCAAAAAGCCAAAGGAACCATTGCTTTGCACAGGACTAAAATGGGCAGCACTATTTTGCCTCTGACAAACACATCTGGTTTTCACTGAGCTCCAAACAGAATTCAAAATGTCTAATTTCGGGAAGAAGTCTAACTCAGTATACTACTCTTCAGGAGGTTACAACCACAGGTTTAAACCATCACATCTGACATCACCAACTGTTCTGGGCTAAAGCTTTTCACTTCGCATTTACTTCAGTAAAAGTGTATGGATGACCAACTGCAGTTATTCAGCTTACAAGTCGCACAGTTGTGTCCCTGAAATTTGATTGCTTCCAATCATGTGAATATATTTCCTTGAACTGCCTTGTATTTGCTGCAGGCTTGAAGCTTGCCTGGAGCCATCCAATTTAAGGAACAGAACTGTAACTTAAAACCTACAGTCCTAGACCTGCCTATCTCGTTGTCCCAAAACAGCTGGGACATCCAAAAATTCAAAGATGTAACCCAGAAATTCCATGACATCTTCTGAACTAAAGCAACCATTCTGAATGGCTATTTTGTAAGGCTGTCTTAGAATAACACATACTCTGTGTTGAAAGAAAGATGGGTCAAGATACTTGTCAAATCGGTCTTCAAATTTCACATCTGATTTCTTCCATTTCACCTGGAGAGAGAAAAGTTTACACATGAAAAAGCTCATTATAATATGTTTAGCTATACTAATGTGCAGAAACCCAAAATACGTTTTAAAAATCATCCACTTCAGATGTTTTCTTGCAGATGAATCGAGGTTTTGGGAAAAAACAATGGACTGATGTTTTTAAAGACTGATATCTACAGGTGATACATAGAATGGACATCAGGCACCTTGCCTCATGGATCCGATTTTGTCTATGCTTACATTTATGAACGAGGAAGAATCTGTCTTGCACCACCTCAGCTCAGTGTCTCTGCAAGACTTAACCAAAGATGCAAACTTGTAGCTGTCAAATACAACAAACTCTTTTGATGATTATAGAAGAAGCCCATAAAAATACTCACACTGAAGATGTCAAAACCAAAATCCATCAAATAACCCTATTCTTCAGTATTGTCAAACTTAAAATCATGAGGTTTTTTTCATAGTACATAATGGTAAACCAATGAATTTTCTTGAAACACTTTTGGGCAATACCTTTGAAAAATCGTCTCAAATTTGCCCAAGATTTCAGCACAAAGGTTAGAGAAAGCAAGCATGTTTAAATATGTTTAAGAATGACGGGCTAGAAAGCAGTGAAATTTTCCCAGAGATTTCTTTTTGCTTACAGCACACTTATTTTTCCTCAATATTTCCATGTTCTGCATTGGATAAAAAGAGGCTCGTGGAGAACATTACCAGTGTTCACTGAGCAACGACAACACCCTCTACTTCTGCTCCCCCGACAGCAGCTGAGATCTGCTTTGCTGCCATGCACTGAGGATGGCATCATCTGCACCTGAACTCTCTGAGTACTGCGCCCAAGAAAAAAGGCAGTCTAGCAGAAGTGAAGGAAATCAGACAGTAGAACAACAAAACAGATGGCAATAGGAAAGAAACGGGCATAAACTGAGATTCAAGCTGTCTGGAAGTGAACTGAATAAAAGGGATCAAGCTGGACCCTAAAAGCCAAACTTTAAAGCTACACACTAAAAGCTGCTGCCTAAAATCAGTATGACCACAGGATTCTGCAATCTAGACACTTCAATTGCCAATAACTAACTCTGAAACCAACTGGAAAAGCATGCAACTCTGACCATACAATCATAAGGTAGCAGCGTATTACTGTGATCAGTTACTACATTAGCTGCACAGAGAACTGCTCTGCATCCGGAAGATTTAATTGGACTAATGAACTATACGGTGTTAATATGGTAGCACAACGTACTTTTCAGGATTTTTGCAAGACTGTTTTCATCTTAATTTTTAAATACAATTCTAGAAATTAAACACAAATCTATACTATTTTTTTTTTCAAAAGCATGCCAAGATTAGGAAATACCAGGATTTTTACTGATCTTGAAACAAGTGCGGTCCCCCTGTGCACACCTTTTGTACAATACATGACAAGGAAATATCCTTTCCAGCAGAAGTTCTTACTCATTACAGAAGAAAGCGTATAAATGTAGACTGAACATCTCACTCACCACAGTCCTGAGACAGATTAAAAACCCCAAGACTCAAGTACTACTCACTTTGAGGAATGACATTAATACTCCTCAGTTCAAATTACAGTCTTGTTCAACATCGGTAGCTGGAAACATTAATAGCTTTCACCATTGTTTTAAGCAGATACATTTCTCGGTAGAGCATCTGCCACTAACAAGCACTGCCTAGAACAAGTCTGTCAGAGACAATTTGTGAATGAAACACCACACACACGCCAGCCCAGCAGTAGCCCAGTGGTGCCAGCAGAACTGGATAAAGCCCTCTTGAAAAGTCTTGAGCTCTGTAAACTAAAAGGATTGTAAGGGAACATCTGATGTTATTGTCTTTATTGGCAGATACTCAGCGCTGTCCTCAAAATTCACAGAGCAAATGGACTTCACAATGCTGGTAGAATTTGAAATAGAAAATTTCAACATTTCTACTAACAATTTTGCAGTAAAAATAGGGAGGTTAGTGTAAACATAATTAGAAAGCACAGATGAAAACCAATTATCTGCACGTCAAACTATACAACTTACTGAGCATAAGAGAAGTGTGACAGTGGCAAGAATGTCCTTTCAAATAAAATCTTATGCTGACACCTACTGCCAACACACTGTAGAAAAGCAATGCATTAAGAACTAGTTTCAGTGTACAAATGTGGTGCATGTGAGAAACGAGCCATTACAGAGTTAAGTAACGTCAAATAAATAAGGAGGAAAATTGAAAAATTTAAGTTATCTCAGATCAGCAAACATCTTTTGTTCATTACACCACAAGAACTCAATGTAATAGCAGAGGGCTTCAGAAAAAACCTTACTAATAAGGTTATGCAAGCAAGACAAATTTCTACTGGAATTGCAAAACCAAAATAAGCTTTGATACTGACGGCCTGCGAGGTATGAAGGCTTACAGTGGGTTTTGGTTCTAGCTCAGCAGCTGCTTCAAATCTATGACGCAAATGTCAGAACTCCAAACATTAAGAAAATGCAAACCTACTGGGGGGTCTTCTAAACTTTGAGGCTCCAGACCTGTTAGGATATCTTCCTTTCCCACAGAAACATTTTTTTCCTGCAGATTATAGAAGCTTCAGTTTGTTTGAAGTGTTTCAAAAATCATAACTTTATATTTATTCTTAATAAACCTATCGGAGTGTTTCAGTAATAAAAAAACCCAACAACAGCATTTGAAGGAGTGAAGATGCAGCTTCTTCTAATGTAGTCTGATGCATTAATACACAGTAGTAGGTATACAAGGACACATTTTGAGGTATTTCACCGTGTAGAGTTTCTTATTACAGATGCATCACCAAATTACTTACTGAGTATGACATCTGGATTTTTGTGTTTGGTACCAATTTCACCTTTCCTTCACTGGTGAGGTTGACATCTACAATCCTATTTCCATTGTAACCAATTTCAAGTTTTTTGTAAGTCCAGAGGTAATAATCTTCTCCGTTTTCATCTGCTTCTCCAACAATACCTGCAAAGGAAACACGTGTAAGCATCTATTACAGGTAAGCTTTTCAAATATTCTCTAATTTTTTTTTTAAATATGCATTACAAATGTTCTGTCAGCTAAAAAAAGCCACATAAGTACAGTGAAGAGAACAAAGCAGATCTTACGCCGGATATGGAACAGGTTATAATGAAGCAGCAGGTATATGAAGGAATGGCACTTGTGCATTACCTGTGCTTTATGATTGTCAAGGTGGTATTTTTCTGTCATGTTTTCTACTCACACTCATCTGTCAGCACTGCCTTGTAGACGCCATTCACATGAAACACGTGCCCGTTTGTGCCTATGTCACACAGCCTAGCACCTGGCACACCGTCTGTTCCCATAGTAATATCCAAAACCACGACAGTACAGACCTCTAAACTACTCAAAAGGACATTCTGATCAATCACTACCTGAAGGAGTGAACTAACACAGCGCTTCGAACACTTAGGGAGATGTCCTGAAACGAAGACTATCAAGCCTGGCTGCTCCACCGTGGGACAGCAATTGAGGAAAAAATAGGAAACGGACTTGTTTTATCAGAACATACTCAGAAAGATCTGGTTGCCTCTGTAAGCTCAGAAAACTGTGTAAACCTTCCAAAGTGCTCAAACAGGAATTTTAACTCATTATCTTTAGTTATCAGCAGTTAAGAAAAGTTATTTTATGCCCAGTCTTTACTGGAAATAGAGTACTCCTTACTGGATACTTTGAGGACGTCCTAAGGAGAATTTCAGATATTAATGGTTGTGTGCATGGTTGTGTGCATGACTGTTACATCAGCAAGTCTCACCAACGTGGGAAACCATGAACACAAAACATGAACTTAACTAAAGTTTGCCAGGAGACAGGAGGAATGCCACAAACCCATCTGGATGAGCCCACAGAAGTGAGCAGTCTGCTTTAAGAACAGAATTAAACAGAAGTTGCCTAGAATTCTCAGCAAACATGAACACCATCTCAATCCCTTCCTTTTAAACTCTTCAGAGAACACTTCCTTTCGGTGGCACTAAAAAAAGGACACTAGCCACTTACATTTAGGGAACAAAATGTTGGTTTAATCCAGCTACAAGACACAAATCAACAACGAGAAGAACAGTGGACTGGATGATACAGCACATACAATACACGCTAGCTAGGAGGGTTGTCAGGAAAGGTAACCCAAACAAAGTGGATCAACATGACAGCCTACAAAGAGTAACAAAAAAGCCACTGCAGCACAAGATATATTTAATGCTAGCTGAGGGTAACCAGTTCTGGACACTACTTTAATAAAACAAACAAAAAAAAAACCTTCTCGGTATTTAGAGTATTTCAGAGATGCCTTCATAATTCCACTCCTTTCTCAGCCCCCCCATCAAGAACTGATCAATTTTCTGCAATAAAAGCCAAGGCAATATTGACAGAACAATCTGCAGTCCTGCTAGTTTTACCTAGCCCTCAGGAGACAGAGCAAAATCTTCAGCACTGCTTGCTTTCACACCTGATGCCAGACTGTATCCTTGCATAACATTACCAGTACCTACAATGCTGCAGTCATCTACTGAGCAGCACAAGTTGAGGTTCTGGTTCCAACCAACAAGTATCAAGACCAGCTTCTTGATGTCATACAAAGATGACACTTAGATCCTGCATATTTGTCAGCTGTAGCATTACGAATGACTTCATGTGCACACAAAGCATACTACTGAAGAACACTAAAAACACTGTAATCACAGGAAAACAGATTGTTCAGTTAAGAGCATAGAATTCAGCTAGGGTATACAAGATTTACTATGTTTATTTGTTCTTCAGTATTTGCAGTGAGAAAAAATGTTCCCAAATAAGATCAGCAAAACCAGTTCGAAAAAAGAAAGTCTCCAAGACTCATTAGCCACACAGGATCCTAAAGAAGTCACCTTACCCTCCGCCATCCTTGGGCACTCTAGAGCCTACGCAGCTCCCACCAGTCTAGGAAAATCATTCATTGATCTTTTGCTGAAATGCCAAAGCATAACAAGTACTGTAGCAACAACTGTCACTCATGGATGATTTTTAAAAGCCTCCCAGCAATTGTACAAGAAGTACAGTAAAGGCCACACAGACTAATTAGGGTCTGCTCCAAGCCCTGCCAGAGAGACGTTACACACACTAAGCAAACCAGCTGAGAAGAAAGAATACAATATATGATACTACTACTGTTGGTCATTATAATGTTACCTCTTAAAAACAGATACACTAAAAAAAGCGACCTTCCTGACAGATAAATAATAAATATACAAATAAATAAATAAAGCGCTAGCATTTCTGGCTGGGGCTCAGTTCATCAGAGAGCTACTTTCTAAAATCAATTAAAATGATACGAAAGGGTTAAAAAACCCACTCTGAATGAATGAATGATGGGTAGCATTATTCAGCATATTACCTATTGCAGAACTCTGTCATGCAGCTTGAACTGTACTCTTGTAGGTGTTGTGGGGTTTTGTTTATTTTGCCCAATTTTAACTGTTTCATGGAACACAGAGGCAACAAAGACCTTACCTTAACGAACTGGTTTTTGGTGCTTTTCATTTCCCTTCACTTTACATCTGCAACAGGGAGATGAGGGGCTTGGGGTTTGGTTGACTGTTACCAATGCAAAGTGCAATCTGCAGAGCACTCTTCACTAGGTACGTGATCGCAGATTACAAGGGAGTAACAAACACCAGAGATCTTAAGAGACAATGGCAATAAGGACGCAAATTTTGATTCAAGACACAAGCACTTGCAAATCCAGATTAATAATACTCAGGAAGAGCAATTTTAAAAACTGTAGACGAACTGTCCTGGTTTGAGCTAAACAGAACTCATTTTCTATTTAGTGATTTTACTTTTCAGCTCAGTCTCTTTTAAGTGACTGAACTTGCTGAAAACTGGCAGCATGTTTTTCCCAAACAGCGCTGCTAGAAGATAAGCTCAAGGTCAGTAGTCTCACCATGGGTGCCGTGTCTGTGTCTACAGGGGAGGAAGCGGACCCAAAACTGACCAATGAGGTATTCCATCCCACATACGTCATACTCAGTATAAAGCTGAGGGATCACGAGGGTCTCATTCCCTTTCCACCCTTCTTCCATCTTGGAGCCCTTCCATCTCAGACCCTTCCATCCGTCTCAATCCTGCAGAGGCCAAGGCCTGAGCAGACCCTGCTGGTTCATCTGCCACTGATCCTGATTTGTGTGTTCCTGCATCAGCTCCCACTGCTGCTGAGTTTGGTCTGGGACTTTTCCAGTGCCCGGCTCCGCAGAGCCTCTGGTGACGTATTCATCATTGGGAGGAGGGCGGGGGAAGGATTTTATATTGGTTTAGTATATATTTGTACATATCTGTATATATATTCCATTATTTTCCTATTTACAATATTATCTGTAGTATCAGTATTATTGTTTCATTAAATCTGTCAGTTTTATTTTCCAACCTGTAAAGTCTCTCTCCCTTATTCTCTTTTCTCTTCCCTTCTGGGGAGGGGAGAGGGGTTAATAGAGAGCATCTGTCCAGGATTTAGTGGCCGGCTCAGCCTTAAACCACAACAACAAACAAATGAAACTCCTTCATATATCCACAGACTCCACATACAAAACTGTTAAAAGCTAATAAATTACCATAAGAGTAAATCAAACAGCTCTTGCATTATTAACACACAAGAACGAGCAAAATAAAGTTTAAACACCAAAACAGTTTTAAGAAAGTTATTCATGAGCACATTAACACAGACCTTATATCTGATCTATCTGATTACCACTCACGTGAACATTTAAAATAACTTAATCTTAAGAAATTGGCATTATTAAATCAGTGCTTGAGGAACAGAACAGCTTTTCACTGTTCTTGTAATTCACTAGTACAGGCCATCCTACTGTTCTTTCAATGCAATAATCCTTCAACTTATTTGCATTATTTGGTTACATAAGTCCTACACACTTCTGAGATTCTTGTAATGAAGCTTAGTCATTAAATGACCCCATGAAACCCACTAGCACAGGCCCCCTGCGGGTGTAATCAAGTTGTTTAAGCACGGTATCACTCACCCCATATCGGCAAGTCATCAATATACATCTGGTACCAGTAGTGATTTTTGATAGCGTACACAAACGCATCTCTTCTGCCTTTGTCCAAGTCAATCTCACAGTAAGTAGTCTGCATTACATCCTCTGCAAAAAATTAAAGCACAATTAATGAAGTATTAATGAGCTGCCTCAAAGCAAAGGCAAAATAAGCAAACAGAGGAATGGCCATTGGGGGGGTCTTGAACCCCTCCTGGCTCTCCTCCTCAAGTAGGTAACAAGCAAGGACATTTAAAAAGCAACCATTAAAGCAATGACATGATTGGTCTTGCAGTTCTACCCTTCCACCAGCAGAAGCTTCCCACAGACAAGATAAGGAAAAGGTTTCAAAGTATCCTTTTGCTACTTCACTCACACTAAATTAAGATTCGTTTGCTGTTGGCAGCTTTACCTGGACATACCATGGGAACTCTTTAGAGGTATGAAATTAATAACAAATACCTAAAACCAGCTATGATATTCTCTCTCCATTTCAGTATAATCAGGCTCATCAAGAACACTGTTTGTAAACACAAACTTTTTAAAGTTCTCAGCAATTTTCAAGAAACCACCAGAAGAGAAGAAACAAAGCAATCAAGGTAAAGGTAGAGAAAAAGGACAGGAGACAAAACCAGGAATAACACAAGGAATGCACAAGAAGCTGCATTGGGAAATAAAATAAATCCACCTCCTCAAGCCAGAAAGCTAATTTTCCTCATCTACAATTCATAAGTAATGCAGTTAGCAGCCTTTTTTTTCCTTTACATCCCAATTTTCTTCCCAAATGTTTCTATTTCAAGTGAAACAAAACCAAAGGGCTCATATTTACAAGAATTCAGACAGCAACAGATTCAGAGACAAAAAAACCCTCATCCACTTCTCAGTGAACATTTTCACTTCGCAAGTAGTGAAACAAAGTGAATGTAAGTAATTCCAGCTCCCCCTCCCTGCTCTTTCTGTCATCACTGGAACAGAAGACACAATTCTAGTAATAAAATTAATTTGTGCCCCAAGTACAGCTCTCATCTCTATCACAATTCAGCTTTTTTGTATACACTAACTGCGATATAAAGCTTAAAAAGAAACACAAATCACTTACACAGAAAACACATCAGCAAGCAGAGTATTTCCAACACAAAACACGACTTCTCTGATAATGACAATTTGTCAAAATAAAAACATGCACAGTATGTCTGGTCAAGGAAAAGCGAAGCAAAGGCTGGTGAAGCAGGACAGTAAGAGCCAGCCAGCAGCAGTCCTGCAGAGCTGCACTCATTTCCTGTAGCCCTGGAGAGAACAGTGCCCCTGGCAATTCTGGAATGGACCCATCTTTTTCTCCTGTTTCTTATGAAAACTGAAATATTTTCTATTTTTGTTTCTTCCAAAACCTCATGAATGCACTCGAAGCTTCATTTTTTCAGTGAAAAAAAAAATCATCATTTCTCAGACTGACATAGCAGGCAATAAACCTTTTGCTGGAAAAAACCAACCAACCAACCAAAACCAAACCAAAACCACTCCATTCAACAACTGTCCCAAGAAGCCTTTTCAACCATGGTTACATCTTGAGGACCCAGACATTCAGGAGAGAGAAGTCATTAAAGCTGGCACCACAGCTGAAACACAGACTTACAAATTCAGGCCTCAGTTTGCACTTATGCCTCTGCTGAGCTGGAACCTATACTTCTTTGGACTATGTTCCCTCCAATAAAAGCCTCTGCTTGGCACTTCACTTTAACAGTCTTTTTTTTTTTTTGAGTCATCTTGAAATTAATTAAAAGAAAAAAAATCAGAATCCCCATCTTCTGGATTTGTTGCTAAGTAGGGATTAATTCTTTCTAAAATACTTAGCACTTTATAGTCACTCTCCAGCCATTTCATACTATACTCAAATAAAGGATAATGGCTTTCTAATTTTAAATTAACTCACAAAGGATTTTTCAACACACAAAGGTCAAATGAAAATGCACCATGAATTAAAATAAGGGTAAAAAAACCCAAAACTTGTTAAAGGCTGTTCAATGAAGCATTACCTAGCACCAGGGCATGGAAGCCTGAGTGGGGAAGTGCTACAGGCAGCAGGCTGGTGTTAGGTGGTTCTCCTCAGACTGCTTCAGCCACACACACAGGAGTGCCACATGGCAATGGGAGCAAGTGCTACTACTGAAATAGCAGTAGCAGGATGACCATGAGCCAGCAATGTGCCCTTGTGGCCAAGAAGGCCAATGGCATCCTGGGGTGTATCAGGAGGGGGGTGGTGAGTAGGTCGAGAGAGGTTCTCCTCCCCCTCTACTCTGCCCTGGTGAGACCGCATCTGGAATATTGTGTTCAGTTCTGGGCCCCTCAGTTCAAGAAGGACAGGGAACTGCTGGAGAGAGTCCAGCGTAGGGCTACAAAGATGATCAAGGGAGTGGAGCATCTCCCTTATGAGGAGCGGCTGAGGGAGCTGGGGCTCTTTAGTTTGCAGAAGAGGAGACTGAGGGGAGACCTCATTCATGTTTATAAATATTTAAAGGGTGAGTGTCACGAGGATGGAGCCAGGCTCTTCTCAGTGACAAACAATGATAGGACAAGGGGTAATGGGCACAAGCTGGAACACAGGAGGTTCCACTTAAATTTGAGAAGAAACTTCTTCTCAGTGAGGGTGACAGAGCACTGGCCCAGGCTGCCCAGAGAGGTTGTGGAGTCTCCTTCTCTGCAGACATTCAAAACCCGCCTGGACGCCTTCCTGTGCAACCTCATCTGGGTGTTCCTGCTCCGGCAGGGGGATTGGACTGGGTGAGCTTTTGAGGTCCCTTCCAATCCCTAACGTTCTGGGATTCTGTGATTCTGTGAAATAAAGATCACACGAACCGAAAGTGCTCTTTTGAGAGACCTTTCCCATTTTATAGCCTGGATACAGCAGCTTTTGTTTGCAGCTATTAACCAAAACAGATTACAACCTAATACCAAGTTACTCCCTGAGCTTTCAGACCCATGGAATTTGGCACTAAACTAACTGAAATGAGCCATTCTGTATCTACTGCTCTAGGATGTGAACGGTAGTTTTTGCTGCAGTAAAACAAACAAACAAACATACTTCGAAGTATCATCTGGAGTGAAATGACCGCACTGACATCTGACCAGGCCGCAGACAGCAGCATGCCACCAAAAAACACTTTTAAACCATTTTAACGGATTTTACTCATGGTATTCAGAACACCAAAAAACATCACAGCAACACTAAAATCAACTGCAAAAAAGCCCCAACCCAGCAGAATCCTTAGAAACATGACTTTACGTATAGTGTATGATTTCCCCTCAGCCATACCAGCTCCCCTCCTGTCCCCCTAAAACAACCGAATGAAAGCAAGAGGAACGAAGGTAAGGGTGCCTTTCTCCAGCCACTGAGATGGCTGAAGCTGTCATTTAGTTAGAGTGCAGGATTAGATGGCTGAGTTCACAGTCCTCTGTGCTAAATGAAAGTGCCTTAGAAGAGCATTCAGTGGCTGGGGAAGCTGAAGTCTACTTCAGCACAGCTTTACCAGGCCTAGTGTCTGGTACACCTGGTAACTATCTATGTTAGATAGTTCTTATCCAAGTTATATTGTGTGTATATCCAAGAGGAGTGTGAAGTTAGAGGTATGTTCTGTGTCATGTCCACATCAGGGATGTCAAAGAGGTAACATCTGCTGAATAATGCACCTTCAGTAATGTCAGTAGCACATTAGGCAAATTTTAAAAGAGCAAGACTCATTCCAAAAGCAGGTGTGCTTATGGCAGGTTTCAAATTTTCTACGAACAATTGGATCAACTGGGGTTTATTCAAACATACAACCCACATAAAACCTCGTTATATCTGACCATCTCTTAGTACAACACTGAGCATCACCCTCAACGGCTGTCACATTTTCTAGAGGTGTTATAAAAGGAAGTCTTGGGTAACAAGTTCTCACCTTAGAAGTACGGTCATTTAATAACATTTCTACGTAAGCACAAAATTTAAGTATGTTAAAAAAATTCTTTTCCCCTTTAAATTCATTTTCTCATTAACTGTACGGCAATGTGAAAAATTAATTTTCTAATTGAAGTCACTATGATCCCAATGCTCAATACATTAAATAATTCACTGGGTCTCAGGTGTAACGTAGAGGATGTAAATTCAGATGCTTGAATAAAGAACTTGACATATTACATAAAAAGCATTATTACTGTAGACTTAGCTTGACCAGAGAATTAAGCCAACTGGAAACCTAAAATCATATTCTAAATGTATGTTAATAATTCATTACTTTCTTCACGAAGATATTTATATAGATTTGAGACCTGTGATATAAGTGACATATTTGAACCAAAATCCAGCTATCCTGTAAAGTCACAAGTATCCTTTCACATGACACATTTTAACTGTAAGAAGAAACATTACTTCATGGATTCTTGAGCACAGAGATTTGTCCCACCAGCCACCACCACAAGCATCCAAGTATCAACCTCCATTCTCAGCAGAACACATTTCTGCAGAGCCACAGTCGTCTTATTCTATTTCAACAATACAGGGAAGGTCCATCGATTCAACTGACAGCTTTACTTACGCAGTCTATGATACCTGTGTTACCGACAGCTGCAGCCTAAATAATTCGTTGAATATGCTGAAAATCATGCAGCTTCACATGTATCTGCTATTGCTGTCCAGTGTTTACTTACGCAGTCTATGATACCTGTGTTACTGACAGCCGCAGCCTAAATAATTCGTTGAATACGCTGAAAATCATGCAGCTTCACACGTATCTGCTATTGCTGTCCAGTCAGTACGTTGAGAAAGGAATTGTTCTTTTACTGCAGAAGCTGATTTATTAGAACAATTCTAATTCCCCTTTACTCACTCCAGAGGATAAAAAACCAAAACTATAAAATCCAAATCTAGTTTAATTTTTTAAACTCTTACAGTACTCCTTTAAAGAGGAAAAATACCTGTGACTTAGTCTTGCCGTAACCCCAAACACACACGAGGAAAAACATGATTACCTGTTAACTTAAAACTTAGATCAGATTAGAGGTTGTGGAGTCTCCTTCTCTGCAGACATTCAAACCCCGCCTGGACGCCTTCCTGTGCAACCTCACCTGGGTGTTCCTGCTCCGGCAGGGGGATTGGACTGGATGAGCTTTTGAGGTCCCTTCCAATCCCTAACGGTCTGGGATTCACATCGTTGTGAAGAAAATCTGTACCCATCTTTCAGACGGTCGTGCCAACATTTTAAAAAGTAGGTCCCTACAGTTACGTATTTAGATGCATATTCAAGCATCTAAATGATTACTGAAAGGTACTTGAGCAGCTCTCAATTGTTTCAGCCATAGATGTTGGATACTCAACACTGCCTGAAGACACATTTTTTTACTTAAGAACATATGAATCATATTGGCACCAAAATATAAGCTTCTATTTGTTAAAAAAAGATAATAAAAGAATAATAATCACAAAACCCCCAGAAATCACCAATGACTGTTTCACTTTCATTGCAGCAGCAACAATAAAAATCAATTTCACTGATACATTCCAGTTCCAATTACTTATTATTAAAAAAGGAATTCACATTTCAGTCAAAAACAAGATGACCATCACAGAGTCACCAAAAAACTGAGCTACCATCACACTTCAACAAACAAATTAGAAAGGAATTCTTTATACAAATGCTAAATTTTACAGACTAGTCTATGAATTTTAAGTTTTCCTACAGGTATTGGATATAAATTGTATGAGTTTTATGACAGCTTTTCAGTCTGTAAAAAATTAATCTCAATTAGCAATCTTTTCTTCTGGGTTTTTACTTTAAAAGCCTGGATATCAAGCAGGTTTGGAGTTCAACAAATTCTACATCATTCTGTATTGAATAAGTAGTAATAATTACTGTTAAAACTACTGTTAAAGTTAATTTTTACTTCTTACTCTGAAATTCAGAACAAAATGATGTTTTAATACTTTACATGGCAGATTAAATACAGTAAAATAACGTTATTCCCATGCAGATCTCACTTCATGGATCCAGCTAGAAATACTAAAGCACCTCCTGACAGAAGCTGCTGGATGCCAGCTAACAGCAAAGAGATTATTGTCTTCATCTTTTATTCAGAGGACACAGATTGAAAGGGAAAAAACTAGAAGTGCACACAGACAGCTTCCCAGATCACGTACACAGTCACCAACCAGCTACCATCTGCTTTATAGGAAACATCCGACCTGCAGTTACTTTGGTTAGGAGCTAAATTCTCTGCAGGTTCAATACAGAGTAGCAATCTACATAGAGCACCAACGTGTTCCTAATAATAGATACATTTTATAAAAGCAACAAGGGACATGGATGAAGAGGAATTCCCCACCTGCTACAAAATGGACCAGCACATCAATCACTTGTGCTTACAAGCCATAAACACCTGATTCCTTTTGAAAGCTCTACTCTTCCATACCCATTCAAAGCCAGGTTTATATGACATCATGCTCACACTGTCTGGAAGAATATACCCCAATATAGCAACTACAGACCTGGTATGCACTGGTAATGCAATCAGAGGTGCAAAAAGGTAGCTGAGAAAAATATAGTAACAGTGGAAGACTGGACTTTAAACCACGAAGAAACTGCACCCGATTTTTCACAGTAAATAATACTCACAATACAGAAAATCTAAAGCTTTCTGTGTCAAAACATCAGCACAAGCAGTTGTGAATCAGAATGTGACACTCATAACCTGAAAGCAAAATAAGACTTAAGGAAAACAGCTTTACCTGTTGTGAAGAAACAAGACAGACAACAGATACACTAATCTGTCAGGGCCATAATCAAAACCAAAACAATCACAAAGTACAAAAAACACAGCACTTTTCCATCATTTTGAATCCGTTAGTACAGGATGACTTTGGCTCCTGGTAGTCCTGAACTCCAAAAGACTTGTCTTAATCAATAGGAATGGTACCAACTTCTATGTATCGATGAGCCGGAGATTCAGTGTTACTCAAGTTGTACTTATTTTTGTTTGAGAAAACAGATGCCAAGTTTAGGGTTTTTTAAGTGTTAAAGAATTACCAAAACTGAAACTCACTGATTTCTCCATTATTAAAATATTTTACAGAAGTATTTAAGAGTGTATTCGCAGAAGAATGGATTCGTCCAATCCTCTGTCTCTGCATATTTCCCTTAGAAATGGCAGAAACTAATCTGGAAAGCTAACTACATCTGACTACAGACTATAAAGTGATCGTATGAGGAGACAAAAGATAAACTGAAAGTTTCAACGATCTCATCTGTTATTTCAGGGAAAAGACAACGAACATGCTTTACAAATGTAAACCAGCCTGACTAGTGCATGTACTTCCGGTACAACAGAGGCTTTAGCGCTTCTGGACCCCCTAAAGATGAAAATTTTTTCAAGCATTTAAGCAGTTCTTGATGTTGAGCCAGTCCATTTCCTTCCCTTAATATCACCTCAACGCTTCCGCTATAAAAAGAGATCTCCAGGTCAATACAGAAAAGGACAGGTCCAGGACAGAGGTGCTGAAAAGTGAGCTACATACAGAACAGCACAAGCTGCTCAGTACTCCCACTCACAAGACTTGATGCAGCAAAAACTGACAGGTGAATAAATGAACTTCAGATAATCTTCAGAAAATAAATGTGGAAACAGGACACTTCCTAAAAGTAAACATTAATTCACAAACCTTTCAGTCTTTTCAATTTGATGCTGCATCTAGAGTACACTTGTCACTGGAGTAACACAATCCCTTTGCAAAGATGGGGCAATTAAAGGAAGTAAAAATTACACATATAACTGGCTGTAAAAATAAATACTCATCATGTTCTGATAATAAAGTTTTACTTGATCTTCAGAGCCATGCTGAATTGCTGCCAGTTGCCTTCTCTGTTCTCTCCATTTCGCATTTCTGCACATATTCTCTCAGGTTTGTCAGGAAAAGTATTTCTCCCATACTGAATAAGGTTTTCAGTATGCGACAATTCTCACAAACCAGTAACAGGACTGTTCTCCAGTATCTGTGCAGGTACAGTACCTTTCTTAAAAGGAAAGACTCAAACCCAAATTCCTTTAATGCAGAGATGCTATCCCCTATGCAACGTAAAAATTTACGAAGAATTTACGGTTTCAACAAACTTTTAATCTTTTATTCCACTTATCCTATGTATAACAAAAACACCATCAAGTCTCTTATTTTCCGGAGGTCCAGTTTGGGATAAAACTTTTGTTACTTACAGAAAGTAAGTAATCAGAAGTCCCATCTGATTGCAAATGCTCAGACAAGACACACTATGCTTACGTTCTCCATCCAGTTAAGCACTGGTGATGCAGTGAAGTGTAGCCCTCTAGGGGAAAAAACCACGTACACACAGAAACCCAAATTGGATTCAATCAATAAATGTTAAAATTCAATACAGACAAAAGAATCTGTTATTATTTGAAGCTCTGCAACTACCAGTTACAGATATCTGAAAGGCCTCTGGGTACCAAAGCACACACAGAGAAAATACGTGATTGAAAGCTCAGCCCCTAGCACCATTTGCAAAAGAAGTTAAATGTCATTTCCAGAACAGTATGGAGAGACTGCAGGAAACGACAGGGAAAAACCAGCTCCATCCTGACTGGAATACGATGAGTTAGAACCAAGTACGTGTCAAAGGTGCTTTAAACTGACAGTAACCAGGAGGATACAATAATTAACTTTGTGTTAAGGTAAAACTTTGCAGTGCTCAGCCCTTGCTACTCCTTTCCAACTGCAGAGAGTTTGCAAGTATTTAACACCATATACTTTTAATCATTCATACGCAGAAAGCTTAGTTTTACTTTATAAAATGTAATCGGTCACTTCAGAAGAACATATCTGCTGCAAACATCTTCTTTAAAGGGCACACAGATGAAAACTTTACTGTAAACTGAAAAGCCAGTAGGAGCAGACAATCTTGCATGGCATTTCAAGCAACACCACAAAATATGCTTCGTTGCTAGCAGCAGCAAACTTTCAATTCTTCTAGTTTAAAAATCCATTTTTAAGAGTTTGTGGGTTAAGTGACTAAGCACACTTTCAATTGCTTACCTTTAAATTTGATGTCAAGACCACTAAATTCCAATTCAACTCCTTGAAGTGCTTCTCCTAGGGTTTCATGGTAATGGCTGATGCTTTTTTTTGATCCCACACAGAAAGGAAGAGAGAAGTATTTGTACGTTTCCTGGCGATTGTGGTAGGGTCCTACTGTATTCATCCATAAAACAACTTCTTCTTTATCTTGGTACTGAAAGATAAAGTTATTGAGTTAGATGAGAAGCTCAGCAGAATTAAAAACAAAACCGAAATTCTCTCGTTCTATTACTTAGCAAGGCAGGATTGCTCAACCACAGGCAACAGGTACAGTTAAAGTCGGTCGAGTATTTTTGTCTTTTGCGCAGCAGAGATTCTAGGACAAGTTTTCCAGCCTCCTTTCCTACAGAAAAAGATTTAGTTGATCATACAGTTCCTTAGAGCCTATCACTGAAGTACCACAAAAGGAGGATTCATACGAATTTAACAAAGAAGCAGAAATTGCAGAGAGGAGAGGTGGAGAAAAGCAGAAGTCTCAAAAACAAACAAATAAATTTTGTGGAAACGCATCAGTTAAGAGCAAAACTCTACTTATCTTCACTGAGACAAGGGAAGTACCAGACTAAGGTCTTGTTAAATCAAATCTTAGCAAATAAATCGGGCAATCCACCTATGGTGACAGGTATACTGTATTTTCCTAAAATGCAGTTCCTTTTCATTTTTATAACGGTACGAATTACATGCAAAATTTCCAGAGCAGCGCAACACCTCACAGGAAACACTAAAAGTAAACTGTGGCATACCTACAGTAGCCAAGATACAGAAACAGTCAGACGGAAGGACTGCATTTTGATGCATTTCCAAAGTTCTCACCGTGGAAAAACAGATCAGCAAGGAGTCTGGTGGCTACCGCAAAATTCTTTCTGGAAACATCCACCCGTCACTGTCCACAGCTACTGTCAGCCAGCACAACTTACTCCTTGGCTAGGAGACAGTTGGGTTTTTTCCAAGCCTTTACAACTTTTCAGCAATAAAAAAGTTCTTAAAGCCATTCATCTATCAGTATTCAAACACTGCATGAACCACAGAATCACAGAATCACTTGGCTGGAAAAGACCTCTGAGATCATCACGTCCAACCGTTCCTGTCTACCCCCTAAACCATATCCCTAAGTACCTCGTCTACCCATTCTTTAAACACATCCAGGGATGGTGACTTGACCATCTCCCTGGGCAGCCTGTTCCAGCTTCTGACGACCCTCTCAGTAAAGAACTTCCTCCTTATCTCTAACCTGAACCTCCCTTGGCACAGCTTGGTGCCGTTTCCCCTTGTTCTGTCCCCCATCACCTGGGAGAAGAGACCAGCACCCACCTCTCTACAACCTCCAAGAAGAACTAAGTGATTTTAAATCATTACTTGCTCAGTACCTGAATGCAGCTGGAGGAGGTATCAGGTTTGCTGGTAACTACAAAGCCTCTGATCCAACACAACTCCTTCACCTACTATAACTTCAGATTAAGAGGGACAGTGATCTAAATTTTAAGGCAGGCCAAAACCCTACTTATAACCTGCACACACAAACACCATATGGATCCTGATTTTTTTAAGAGTAAAGTACAAATAAAGTACAATTTTAAGACCATGACACAAACACAGAATACACTGGAGAGGAAAATAAAGTCAAATGTTAATCAGCCCTACTTCATAGAGCACGGCCGAAATACTGAATACAGTTCTGCATCTCACTTTTTAACCAATGAACAAAGTTTCTTCAAGTCTATTTACACTGAATAACCAGAGTCATATTGACAGGTTAACTCAGAAATAAATAGCTACGCGTGGAATGCAATAAATTCTTCAGATGATGCATTTAAAAGTTAAACTGGGGATTTAAACTAACATGCTTTGGGAAATAATTTAATCCCTCTACCCCAACATGTCATCTCAATTACAAGCCTCATATTTTTTGCTTACTAAGATGCACAAGGCTCATTCCAGCTTCTTACGCGAGTGCTCTTCACCAAAAAACTTCAAATATCTTACTAATTTCATTCTGAGCCGCAGCAGAGACCAAACACTTACCAATTTCACAAGCCTGCCCATTTGCAGAGCACACACTTCAGAACAATTCTGACAGGCAAAGATTTGTCAGTGATGGAGCAGAGTAAACAAGACAGCAAGAGAAAGCAGACATTCCTCCTCTCTGCCAGCCACCACAAAGGTTATACCCGTGCAGCACGGCTGTCCAACTTCAAAGAAATGTGGGAAAGAAGAAAAAAAAGAAAGAAAAATCACAGTTCCAACCCCCTCAGCAGCAGAAGCAGACAGTGAAATCTGCACTACGATACCACCTCTAGCTCTTGCCAACGTAGCACGCGACAAGTTGGTCCATATCTCTTTCTGTTCTGTTATGCCTAGCACAACTCCTGTTTCTTCCTCCATCAGCTGCAGCACACATTTGCAGTCCTTTCTGAAAATGGTCTTTACCTGTCAAGAGCCCAGTTTAGCATTATTCCTCGTAATGCAACAGCTCACACGTGAACCAAGCTAAGTCTCTGTAAAGCCTTCAGTAATAGAATATGAAAACATCCTTAGGTCTGCGAGTTCAACGTCATCAGTGCCTGAATAAAGCAAGCATTGACCACTGCTTTACTTAGATTCTTTTTTCTGACTTGCTTCACATCGAGTTGGGGTCTCTGCATTTTTTGAACTATACCAGATGACCTTCAATGGACAGAAATTACCTTCTTAAGAACATATAATTCAAAATCTAGTTACATTTTCTGATCTAATAATATAAGTACATTGCAATTACAACACCTACAATCAAAAATTTGGTCTTTGCTTGTCATTTATCTGCATGATGCTCAGCCCTCCTTCAGGGCCTACAAGCTTTTCCCCCACTGACTCCAAGACGCTATCAGTCTGCTCTGGAAAGAAAAGGGACCAAACCAAGCATAAGCAAAGAATTCAGCCTACATATGGTACTTCCTCCTTTCTCTCAACAACCCCAAAACAGCACAAAAGCAAGCTGTTCAGGACTGCTACATCAATGGACACAGCACCTCAGCCATCCCAGGCTACACCTCAGCAAGTCCTTACTTACAGCAATTTGCAGTCCATCAGGTGCTCCCAGTGCCCTCCCAAATTAAAAGGGATGTAGTAAGAAATCCAGCACACACAACTTCAGCTTGAATTTGGAGGTGGTGGTGGTGTCTAGCAGAATCTCAAACCGATTTCCTTCTCCCTACATTTGTTGGGCTTTGCTTATTCTCAATTATAAAGATGAGCTTTCACATTTCAGTATGTTTCCCTGTCATAACATATCTCATCTTTATAATCTTATCCAAGTGGTAGGGTGATTTGGTAGTAAGAACTCAGGACTACCAAAGAGTTCAAGTTTGTGGTGGTTTGGGTTTTTTCTTTTTCATTACTACCTTTTGGGGGGGTTGGGTTTTTTCTTTTTCATTACTACCCTTACAGTAACAAAGCATCTACAACAAAGAACAGTGGCAACACACTTAAGAAAAAAATTCTTATTTAGGCAAGACAAAGTACGAGTACCTTGTAGGACTGTTCTGTCACCTCTATAGGAGGATTTCTAGGTTCAGTGAAGGCTAACATACAACGTATCTTCCAGCAAAAACGTCACATTATGAAAGATACAACATAAAATAACTCGCTGAAGAAAGCCCTGGTTCCAAGCGAGCCGCAGCACTCGGGTATGCTGCATCAGTACCACTCAGATTTCAGCCAGCACATTCACTGTCAGTCTTCCAGTAGTTTCAACTACTGTTGTGCGCTTTCACATCTTCTACAGAAGAAACTTCAATTCTTATTTGTACTGTTCCGATATTGACTTATGAGCAACTGCTCAACTGTACCCCCTGAGCTTTGAACACACCAGAGCAAATCAATACCCTGCTGCCTTCTGCTAACCTTAGCAGGCAAGTCAGCAGTAACCCATAGTCAAAATCAACAAAGAATAAGACAGGATGTGATGAGTCTCTTTCAAAATTTGTTATACAGCAATATAAAGCTTGCATGACCAACTGTAAAGGTGAGAGTTTCCTTATCTTCTGCTACATAATCAGCAAGCAAAACATCTTGACTCATTGAGATTCCACCCGTCCCCAGAAAACATGGAAAAAGTATCAAGAACTCCCTATCAATACAGGTAAGCAACAAACAAAAGTGGAAGTCAGCTACAATGTGCAAGAACATCCATGTCACACATCCAGCAAGTTAAACTCACCAAGAACAGCTGTCATCGTAAGAGTTCTAAATAAAAATGTCTTGTTCTCATTCTACATACAATAAGGGTCCTGAGTACCTATTTGACCTATGACTGCTATAGGACTTCTAGAAAAGAAACCAACATACTCCTATTACAGCTGTATCTACACTACTGAGGCTTGCAACAGGGGCAAGTAGTAATGAAATAACACTTTGGCATGGTTTAACCCAGCAAGCAGCTAAACGTCACGCAGTTCTACTCCTATTACAGCTGTATCTACACTACTGAAGCTCGCAACAGGGGCAAGTAGTAATGAAATAACACGTTGGCATGGTTCAACCCAGCAAGCAGCTAAACGTCACGCAGTTTGTTCGCTTGCCCTCCCCGCTCCCTGGTGGGATGTGGGAGAGAACTGGGAGAGTAAAAGCAAAGAACTCATCAGTTGAGATAAAGGCTATTTAATAATTAAAATAAATTAAACTAGAATAACAGCAATGAACTGCAACAAGAATAGAAACAATGATAATAAAGCAGTCAAAGTTCTACTCGACTCACAAACAGCAGCCACTGGCCGTATGCTAACAAAAAATGCAACCAGGGAGGCAGGAGCTTCAGGAACCGAGACGGGCACCATCACAGACGAGAAGAGAAAGGATTGAAGGCGCAAAGAGGAAGGAGGAAGGGGTCGTCCCTTGCAAGCGCCCCAATTTATAGTGAGTGTGACGTTTATGGGATAGAATACATCTTCATTGGTCAGCTTGGATCATACGCACATCATCCGTCCTCCGTGACCTATCCCTGAGAGTCCCAGGCCTTTGCTTCCCTCTATTTCTCTTGTGCTGTGATTAAGAGAAAACAACAACACAAGAAATTTGCTCTTCTCAGTGATGTCCAATGACAGGACAAGGGGCAATGGGAGCAAGCTGGAGCATAGGAGGTTCAACCTGAACATAAGAAAACACTTTTACACT